GCATCAGGTTCTTTGGAGGATAGAGATTCTGCCCCATTTACGGCAGAAATCCCTCACCGCCCGAATTTATTACAATTTCATACCCCAACTCCATAGTCTACACTCCCCACTCCCCCTATTTCACCTTTATCTCAATCAGTCCTATAATTTAATTCCCGTCACTACAATACCCCCCCTAGTTTAAGTATTTATAACAGGAAGGACGAAAAACAAAGGGAAAAAATTTAAAAAATGTATACATCGTTCGAGATAATAACAAGTGAGATGAGATAGCAAAACGGCGAGGGGTGGTAGGTGGGCCCATGCTACTCCATGGCCCAATCATGCTGACGAGCCCTCGAGAAGCCCACCAGCCTCTTCAATTTCCTTCTTTACCCTCGTCTCCACCCCGTAATAACCGGAATACCACTTCACGAACTTCCTCAACCCGGCCGCCAAATCCGTTGTCGGCTTGTACCCGAAATCCCGATACGCCAGGCTGACGTTCGCGTGCGTGAACGGAACGTCGCCGTTTCGCGGCATCCCGACCACGCGCTTCTTCGCCTTCTTCCCCAGCAGCGACTCCAAAATCGACACCAGCCGCCCCACGGGGACCGGCGACGTGTTCCCCAAATTGTACACCCGCAGCTGCGCCGGCTTCCTCTTCTTCCCGCCGCTTCCCGTGCTCCTCTCCGCCGTGTCCAGCGACCCCACGCACCCCTTCACCACGTCGTCGATGTACGTGAAGTCACGCGCCACCTGTTCCCCTCCCTGCGTCTGGTACACGTCGATGGGCTTCCCTTGTAAAATGTCCTTGGTGAAGAAGAAGTAGGCCATATCGGGCCGGCCCCAAGGCCCATAAACCGTGAAGAATCTGAGCCCAGTGAGGGAAAGCCCGTAGATGTGGTTGTAGGTGTGGGCGATTTCCTCCCCTGCCTTCTTCGTGGCGGCGTAGAGGCTCGCCGGTTGGTCGGTGCGGTGGAGCTCCGAGAAGGGAACCTTGTCGTTGAGACCGTAGACGGAGCTCGACGACGCCCAGACGATCGCCGGCTGGGGGCTCGCCGATTTCGCGATTTCGAGGAGGTTGATGAACCCGGCGATGTTGGAGCTGACGTAGGATTGGGGATTCTGCATCGCGTAGCGGACGCCGGCCTGCGCGGCGAGGTGGAGGATGTGGGAGAAAGGAACGACGTCGAATAGCTTGGCGAGCAGTACGGCGTCATTTAGGTCACCGTCCACGATGAAGATCTGGTGCTTGAGAAGCAGATTTTGGCGAGATCTCTTGAGGGTTGGGTCGTAGTAGGAATTGAAATTGTCGAGGCCGAGGACGCCGTCGCCGCGCTTCTTCAGGGAGATTGAGCAGTGGGCGCCGATGAATCCGGCGGCGCCCGTGACGAGGATGGAGAATCCGTTGGGGCGGCGCGGGGTGGAGGAGCGGCGGACCTGTTTCTCCCAATTGGGACCACCGATTGCGGAGGAGGAGGAGGAGGAGGAGAAGAATCCGGTGGAGAGGAAGCTATGCCGGTGGATGGCGGCGCCGGAGTGGCGATCGGAGAGGGGAGGGTAGTTGATGGTGAAGAAGAGGACGAGGAGGAGGGCGACGAGGAGGGTGGTGCGGAAGATGAGCTTGGAGGAAGCGTTGAGGAGCTTGGTGCTCTGTATCCGGCGGACGTAGCTGTTGTAGCGCTCCAGCTTGATGGTCTTGCTGGTGTCCGGCGGCGAACCCATTGCCGGAATTTTGTTGGGTATTGTGTAACTGTAATGTGGCAGTAGTGGGTATATGGACTATGGAGAGCTCGGAGCTTGGGTGAGAGCCCTGAAACTGGGAAGAGTGTGGGAAGGGAGATTATAAAGGGAGCAAATTGGTTGTTGGTTGGATACTTGGATGGAAGATACCAAATACGACGAGAGGGAGAGAATTGAATTGGAGTAAAAGCCCCGATTGGGAGTTAAAAGAGTAAATAGGACATTTTGTAAAATCGTATTGGAGGTTGTATGGGAAAAATTAATGGTATTGTATTTTATGATAGAAATTGTGGTCTAATCGTAGTTTAATTATTTTGTATCGCTAATTTTTTATTTATTTTTTTTTACAATAGGAGCTTTTGTATTGCATTGAGAATCACAGTTACAAGGAGTGAGAGAAACACAGTGAAAGCAAAACAATAATGGACTCAAAAGTTAGAGTAATCCAAACCAAAAGAACAAGCCAGAAAAAGAACAGGAGAAGATTGATCTCCAACAGAAGAATCCATAACAGAAGGCTATCAAAGTGAACCCAGAACCCCTTGCTTCCACAACAATCAGCTCAGCACAAGCATGGTTTCAACTCGCCCGAAACCAGACAAGCCCATGGCAATTGAACATTGCAACGCCATAAGCCGCCACCTGGGGATCGTTCAAAGACGACACATCACAGTGAATCTCATGGAAGAGAAAACTCAGCGGTGAGCAGGCTAAAACCGGGATGCTCTGAGCTGAAAGAGGCCGAGGAAGCCGGAGGCATGGATGACTAGGAACCGGAAAAGAGAAGATTCGTCTTCACCATCTCCAGAAAACCAGTGAACCACAACCCACCGCACCGAAAATGACACCAGACCGCCACAACAGTCAACCGAAATGCTTCAAGCAAAGCAGAGGTAGAAGGAAGGGAGGAGCAGTGAATATGCCCACCAAAAGTGATGAGCACACCAACAAGGAGCAGACCCCAACAGCAAACCACCATAAGAAGCTCCCCAAGCTGCAATTTTCGGATCCAGAGAGCAAGGCCAAACAGATCTAAAAATCAGAAAACACTGTGGATAAACCACTTGGAGAATGACCACAAGGGTCGGAAAAAGCCAACATAGACAGGGAAAAAGCAGCAGGACAAGCAAGAAAATAAAAATGCAGGAAAGAAAGAGGCTGGGCCACTGCCGGACACTCAAGGGAACCGGCGGCAGCCCTTAATGGAATGGGAAAAGCTGGACTTTAGAGAGAAGGGAGAGCAAGCAATTCAAAATAAAAGTAAAAGAGAGTATCGCTAAAAATTATTATTGATTTAGTTTTCTATAGAAAGTTATCTCAATCGGACTCTCGGTAAGGTACAGTTTTTCAATTCTTGGTGTTTTCTTTTCCCTTTGTTTTGTGGTTGATGGAAAGTGGTGACTAGCTTTGAATCTAGGGATCTTCTTCATGTATTTACTTGTTAATACAATTGCTTTCCAAGCATTAATTCAAGCATTAATGTTAATATTGATGTAATCATTTTTGGGTGTGTTATTGCTTGTTAGTATTGCATGTAAAGTTTTCTTATAAGGATCACCTTAGATTGTATAATCTATATATATATATATGATTTTATACCCTGAATGAGATAACCAATTCCTACTAGATCAAGTTAGTAACAACCTACTTGAATGGTTTGTTGTCAAATCGCGCAATAGATCAAAATCAACCAAATTAACAACTCAATGTGTAATAAAAGGACGATAATAAAACTGTTATGTATGGTTACGGTATTGTGATAAAATTGGTGATGGGAGTCGTTCAACCGTCAACTTTTGAATAAATTGAATACCGTTGGTAAATATAAATAATGTGTGCATTTAACACTACTTGAATTACACGTGTTCGTAGGTGAACGTCATCAAATATATATCGCCTCGTTCGTTCAATTTTGTCTATTTATTTTCATTTTTCAATATTTATTTCGGTTTAATTACATGTTCGTAGCCAATAGTGACGGTAGTTAATGATAGTTAATACCCTTATAATTATGATTCACGTGGCAGACGGGCAGTCAATGGTTGTTATATATTTAGTTTGAGAGGAGATCGGGAGGTCAAACACATAATCAGAAAATACGGCTTCGTCGGCGGCAAGATTCTCTTCTGCTTGATCGTCTTCCGGCTACTGCACGTTGAAGATGACATAATTGACATGACGGTTTGGAATTTCCCCCCTCAATCATTTCTGTTACCAGTTTTGGATTTGGAGTATGCTATATTCGGATAAAATCTCTTCTTAATATCATTGTTGGGATTATTGATGAGAATAATTAATAAAGAATGAGCGAAACGCGTCGGCCAGAATCGAGTTTTGATCTAATTATAAAGAGACTGAATATTTGAACGAAAGAAAGTCATCCTCGCCGCCTCTAACATTTGGAGTGAGCAAATGTCTCATCAATGGAAAGTTGACAACGGTCCTCGGTAAGCTTACGAGTGAGCGCGTGGAGACATTATATTTACAAAATTATCACCACGTTTATTCAACAATACACGAAATCGCTTGGTGCGCGAAAGAATGATTGTACGATCATCCTATCAGCCCGTTCTCTCCTTATGTATCATGAATTTGTCTGCAACTTCGGATTAAGCATGAAACAAGCATGCATGAATTTACAATCAATCATTACAACTTACAAGTACTAGTATTTTCACGGGTTTCATAAGCTAGGACATGCAAAAGTCAGCAGCAACCTTCTCAGGAAAAAGTACTGAGAGTTTCAAGGCCATAAACACTCCTGCAAATTAAAGTTTCTGTACCAGTTCTGAGTTGGTAATAAGTAAACCCTACACAGCAAAACAGTGCTCCAAACCAAATCCCCTTCTTTTAATCGTTTATTGTGCTTGTTCCCTTGCCTAATGTTTAAGAACTGGACATCATTGCAGCAGGTAGATAGATCAGTAAATGAAAAGGAGAAGAAGAGACAAGAAACATGAAACAAACAACCTCCAAGAAGCATCCCAACCAACCCTTTTCCTCCTTTTCCCCACCCTTTTTTACACCTAACCCATCTGACACCTTAAGCTAAAAAAAAAAAAAACCATCTGACACCTTTTGTTAGGGTCTGCAGATTTGCTCCTGCTGCCACCTTTTCCACTGTGGAAGGTGGGAAAAGAGGGGGGAAATGGGAATGACATGATTTCTCAATCAATCATTTGGTGAATGAATTGCTTCTTCCTTTCTTGGTGTTACTGCATTGCATGGCCAACAAGAGGAAGTTGGGACAGCAAGAGAAAGAGAGGGTCTTTGTTCCCCCTTCCCCTTTTCCTCCTTTTTCAAACTGATAACCAGTACTGGTATTATGTTTCTATGGTTGGTTGGCCACTCTTTAAAGCTTGAGCCCATGTGCTGACCATGTGAGCTGTTTGGCTGATGCCCCCTTTCTGTATTCTGTAATACACTTGCACCCCACCAGGATACTCTGCAATTTCACCACTTGGTTCATGAATCATGATGATCTCTGCAGAATTTATCCTTTGCTGTTATTGCATGATCTGGTGAGCTCAGTGCCCTGAAAGAAAAGTCATTAGGGCACTCCAATTTTGGTAACGGGTGGTTTCACGAGTGGTGGATTTAGAATTCTCCATAGATTTAGAATTCTATGGATTCCAACATTTACATAAGACCAAAATCACAACCGTTATCCATTGTCCACCATCAATCCATGAAACGAAATCCCCACCACCAAACAAGTACTTTGGCTATGACATCTCGCAATAAAGCATGGCCCGGAATCAAATTTCCCATTACCTACTTAAAAGGGCACAACTTGGTACGGAAAGGATAGCTGGCCCTCAAGTCATTAAAGTGAGGTGGGAACAGGAAGAAGATTGAAGCACAAGAACGCAAACAAAGTTACAGGGTACATACAGAAGACTTGATAACTAAACTACGTTCTGGATATCTGTCTTTTCCCATTCTGATATCCAGATAGGAATTGGACTCAATAATTTATCAGTGGGGACTTTAGGCTTTGATTAGATGGACCAGAAGACAATGAGGTTTCTGACTGCCGAGGCGATAAACTATAGTCCTTGTCTGCCATAGGACAAGGAAAAGTCCAGGGCCTGAGTTGATTGTCAGTCTGTGGTGGGATCGATTGTATTGGCGTTGACTTGCCTTCCAGATGATAAACTCTGGCCTACGGGTAGGAAACTCATGGTGGCACAGCAGCTTTCACTTCCTCACTTGTTTCATTACGCGCAGAATTATCTGTGTCGGCAAGCTCTTTCAGGACCTGTTCATTAGAGGAAACCATTCACTGTAAGAAATTTGGGTAAGCAACAAATGCAGTTGTGTGAAGCTAGAGATCTTTTAGAAACTAGAAAGTAAAAGTTACCTGGTGGAGTTGCCAAGAAGCAAAAGCATCTGTAGCTGCATACTGTAGTTGCTGCTTTGATAGAGATTTAACTTCCCAGTTCCCAAGCCTGATCTTGTTCGGTTTCGGAAGCTACAAAAAAGTATGGTTCGTTAGATAGTTAGCATACCTTAATGATGCTATTTCTTAAGATCACAGCCCAAAATGACATCAGAGGAAATAATATCCAGTTGCATCTTGGAGTAATTTGTCTGTTTGATAAACCACTGACCTTAGCTGGGCGAATTTGCAAATGAACGAAACAGGATGTAACAAGAAAGCAGAAAACATAAGTTTAAAGAGGGAAACGCCAAGCAAAAGCACAGGTGCTGGAGAAACTTACGAAGCAAGAGAGAAACCATTAGTCCGTAAACCTCATTCATAATGCTGACACAAGTCACAACCTTGTTTCCTAACTTTTCTGGGTGGAAAGTTCATTAGTAAAGGTAAAGAATCTACATAATGTTCTACGGTGAGTGGTTCTAGCAATGTCCACATTAACTGCCAACTCCAAAGTTCGCTTAAGTTATTGTCAATGCAGTTCATTTGACGAGTATGGTTGTTATCTTGTACAAAATGCAGAAGCAAGTTTTACTGACAAGAGTATAACTATAAATACAGCATATATAGCAGTGAACCTTATGTTAGATTCGCAAGTATACACTGGTATGTTTTCCAATGATGAAAAATCACCAGTCCTATATCCCTAACTAAACTCTCCATATGTGTGCTCCTAAGATACATTAGAAAGTTCTCCATTGATGCGCATTCACCACTGTTATACATATTCCTTAGGTAGACATTCATAATCTCAACTCAAACTAGTAAGGGAGATGATGCATGAAGATACAGAAACACATAAGAGATGGTAATCCAAGATTGGCTGCAGGAATGGGTTGTAATTCTTCAGTAGGTAGACAGGAAAATGTAAAGGTACCTCTTTAGAAACAAGCATCTCAGTTAAAGCTTTAAGACTCCAATTTCTGGGTTCTCCACCAAGTTTTTGATTAGCTAGACATGAAAGATCCCCTACACCTTGAACAGAGACATTATAATCTTTAAAAACCTTCACGCAATCGTTGTCAATCCCAACTCCAACCTACAGAGGCATCAGAGGATAGAAACATAAGATACATCTACATATTGGGTGCCAAATAGAATAGGAAACAAATGGGTACAGAAAGATCTTTTGTACTTTTACAAGTGTAGAATCTCGAAGAAGAAGCCGCAGGCTCGGAGGGATTCCGGAATGAAATATGTGCATCACATAGCATTGGCCAATATCTGCACACAACTGCATAACAGCAGCCTTCCCAGGCGGAACACCTATAGTATCATGGTCCCAAACATGTGTTGCTTAGTTGTTATGAAAAAGAAACCGACTTTCCAAGTCTTGACAAAACTATAAACAGCATTTTGAAAGGCACACAACATTCTTATTTCAGATAAGAACATGCCTTTTCTGAATGTTGGCTTCCACTCTATATCAAACCCAACAGCAACATGACCACTTTCTCCCCTTTTAGCTTCAAGGCTGCGAAGAAGCTCCCTTGCGGCCTTTTCCACCTCCACTGAGGTTCTAGTGTAAGAAATTCGACCTCCAAATTTGATTGCAGGATACCTCATTTTTACATCAGCTGCAGTAGAAAGTATGATAAAGCAATTTCACAAGACATTTCTTCTACACTAAAGATTATATGCAGTTGGCAAAGGACATAAAGAGTCTGAAGCCCAACAATGGGGAGCCCAAAAGACCATGAAATTGAACCAATTTCAAGCGACGTTGCCACCCTTCAATCATTGTTCGGAGATAGTTTCTGCGCAGTCTTTTGAGGGAATCGATAATGCAAAAGAATCGTTTAATAAGAGAGCATACAAAAGAACGAAAAAGTGGGTGTAGTGAGTGAGAGAGCACCTTTACAAGGAGACAGGGGAAATGGTGTAAAGAAATCGAGCATGGAACTTGGCAGTCGTCGGCAAGGTCTTTTGCTGGCTTGATCATCTTGAGCACTCGAATCTTGTTCCTTAATCGAAGAGGAAATGGAGGTAGTCGACGCGGACAGAAATGTAGCTTCAATTGCGTCAATGGCTTCCAGCTCATGCTCCGTCAATGGCTCGCCCCAATCTGGAACAGACGAAAATGCCAATGACGGAGACGAAGAAAAATCGTTGCTTCCCACGCCCGGCTCTCGGGAATTCATACTGCTATCATGCTCTTCGCGGAGTTCGGATTCACAAGCGCGAGGTTTTGAAAATGGCGGATTTCATCATCTCGCCAATATTTTGTTCATTCGAAGGGTTCAACCGAAACGACGTGTCGTGCCGAGCAAGCCGCGGGCCGAGAGTTTTTTTCTTTTTTGAAAACAGGAAAGAAAAGAGAAAAACGAATCGAAAAAAGACGAAAATCTTTTCCCCCAAGTGAAGTCCCAATACCCGCCTTTTCTAGTAGGGGAGAAGACGAAGAAAGGCTAAAACCCTTCTCTTTCAAATCCGATTCAGTGATTCTCCAATGGCTGCTTCTTGTTAGCTGCTGGAATCTGCAGGATTCGTATCTCACCGCGGAGTTTTCAGTTCACATACTGAAGTTCATTGGGTGATCATCTTGTAGTGTTCGTCGCCCGGAAGAACGAGGCTGTGGGAGCTCGGTATCAGAGAAGATGAGTACGGTCGATAAGATGCTGATAAAAGGAATCCGGAGCTTCGACCCGGAGAACAAGCACGTCATCACCTTCTTCAGGCCTCTTACCCTAATCGTCGGCCCCAACGGCGCCGGCAAAACTGTATTTTCTGCTCCCTCCAAACACCGCTTTCATTTTCAGCTTTTTTTGTAGGGTTTTAAGTTTTTATCTACTGTTTCCTTTTTGCTTGTGCAGACGATTATAGAATGCTTGAAGGTTGCATGCACTGGGGAGATGCCACCGAATGCAAGGTCTGGGCACAGCTTCGTCCATGATCCCAAGGTTTTCCCCATCTTCTCTTTCTCACTCTGCCGTGGAGTTCACTCTTTTCTGTGTTCTTGGTGATAAAATAGGTAGTTTGAGTATCTGTTTGCATATTAAGCTGCCGTTGGTGTGCCTGATTAGCTTGGGTTGTGCTTTGTAGGTAGCAGGGGAAACTGAGACAAAGGGACAAATTAAGCTCCGATTCAAGACTGCTGCTGGTAAGGATGTGGTATGCATCAGGTCGTTTCAGCTGACGCAGAAAGCGTCGAAGATGGAGTATAAGGCAATCGAGAGTGTGCTTCAGACAATCAATCCGCACACTGGAGAGGTTAGAGTAGCTTTCATCTAATTGGTTTTCCTTTGCATTTCATTCTGATGGCCGAGTCGTGCTGCATGATATGAATAATGTAATTTGAAATGAGCAGTTTTTGAACTAAATAATTCGTCGGGGTATAAACTTACTTTGTAGTATTTGAGCTCTGCGGTTGCCTAGACTCTAGAGTACATTTGCGAGCTTGTGCTTGTCAATTAGCTGCAATAATAGATTGGTCTCTAGATTCTAAAATTCCTTTGTGCCTCTATATTGACTGTCTTTTAATGTACCTACCTTATGGTATTTTTCTGGTTGATGTTAGTAATCTCATGGGCTTCCCTGTCCACTTTGGTAGGTCGGACCACATTGTGTAGTCTGTAGAAAGTAGTTTAGTGTTCTCCAATTAATTCTCTTATGCAGAAAGTCTTGTTGCTTTAATTGATCAGTCTGTTGGTCCTGGGTGGTTATCAATTGGTTTCAATTAATTTTATGTATGGTGTATCTTCTTTTGATCTTAGGCCGCAGTCATTTTTTAAATTGGTTGGTAAAATTGATCAAGCAGTTTGTGTCTGTTATTGGCTGTTCTCGTCTCTTTTGATTTGTGTACTGTTGTATAAATTAGCTTCACAGGCTGAATTGTTTTCAGTATGTTTCCTTTTCTATTGAGCTGGTGTATTATGTAGTCTTGTCTTGCACTCTGTCTCGAAATGCCTTTCACTGTGATATCTGAGTTGTCTTGGTGCACTTGCTAGTTTCTATAAAATTAACACTTACCGTGGTTTGATTTTGGCTATTTTGAACTGCAGAAAGTTTGCCTTAGCTATAGATGTGCTGATATGGACAGGGAAATCCCTGCATTGATGGGTGTCTCAAAGGCTGTTCTGGAGAATGTCATATTCGTTCACCAAGATGAAGCTAACTGGCCCTTGCAAGACCCTTCTACATTGAAAAAGAAGTTTGATGACATATTCTCTGCCACACGGTACTGTTTTTGACACTCCTGCTGAAATATTGGCATCTGATTAAGTTGTCCTTACTGTCCCATATGTCCTTCACTGCAGATGAATTGTTCTTGTAATAGTTGATAGTATTTCATGCACACTGCTTCTTATGTATTCCTTTGAATCATGTGTGGTGTGCCCTAGAACTTCTTTTTTCACCCACTTGTCCGTGTGAGATGTTGTGCATCATAGTGTATGTGCGGGTGGTATGGTGGTCATACATAAATTTAGATGTGCCAAGTGAAGAATAAAACTGGTTATTCCAACTATGTCAAGAAGCTTAATGATGTGGGGAAGCTCCTATATAGAGAGACAAGTAAAATTTATAGGTAAAAACATTATAAGCTTTTAGCAAGTCCTGGCTGTGCTCCAACGAACCTCAATGGTGTTAAAACTTATAAGCTTACATTCACATTAAGTTGGTAACATCTTGTTATTTTGAGAAAGTTTAACTGAAAAAATTTCCTGGCGTAACTAGTACCTGGAAGGTGCATAAGTATTAGCAATTTCCAGCACAAGATTGTTGCGGATCCCATTCCAAAGTGTAGAGCTTTCATAATTTTCTTTTCCTCAGTTTCTTATTTTTGGTGCTGGCTGGACATCTCTTTTTAAAGTATGCTGATGATCGATTCCCACACAGATATACCAAGGCCTTAGAAGTCATCAAGAAACTCCATAAGGATCAGGCTCAGGAAATTAAAGCTTACAAGCTAAAATTGGAGAATCTTCAAACCCTGAAGGATGCTGCATATAAGGTTAGAAATGCTGCACCTTTCATGCTTTGTAAGATACATTTAGGGGTTTTGTGGTTGAATCAGTTGGAGGGTACAAGTCTAGATCATCTGATGTATTGGTTAGTGGATTTATGAGTCTCATTTTAATGATATATATTGAGTTTCTACCTACTGTCTTCCTTCTTTCTTCTATTTTGTCTGCTCTCTATTTCTTCAGCTCCGTGAAAGCGTTTCTCAAGATCAAGAAAAGACAGAATCTTTAAATCTACAAATACAAGACTTAGAAAATAACCTTCAAAATGTGGACGGAAGAATCCATGACACTGAAGCAACACTTAAGGAGGTGAGGAAACTAAAGGAACAGATATCCACTAAGAATGCAGAAAGAGGAATTCTGGTGGAGGAGATGGAACGGCAGCTTGCTGCCCTTGATGCAGAAATCACAGGTTTTATGAGTTGGCATTAGCCAATAATCATTTTCTTTTCCTAGAATCTTGGTGATCCATGGTTGTGTTGATTAACTGCAATCGTCCATGCACTACTGTTATAAAATGCAGAGGATCATTTCCAAGCTTATGAATCTGGATGGTGAAGCGACGTGTCATTTTGAATGTATTTTATACTTATTTCTCGTATTTTACTGTGTTTCTGTCAGATGACGATGAGACATTGATTGGTTGCAAAAACACTTTTGACGAATTTGTGGCCAACCTCAACACGAAAATTAGCAAATTGGAGAGAGAAATGAATGATTCAGAAGTCAAAGCATCCTTTCTTAAGAAGAATGTCAATGAATACATCCGAGAGATTAGTAGGCTTCAGGCTGAAACCGATGTAATGTTTGTTGAATAAAACTTCGTGGTTTGGTCAAATACCCCTATTGAAGAGGAATCTCTGACTTTCTAGTTTTTGAATGCAGGCTCACAATTCCTTGAAGTACGAAAGAGATTCTATAATCCGAAGCCTTTGTACAAGATATAATTTGGGCTCTTTTCAAGACACCCCATTAAGTGATGAGATGGCTTGGAATCTCACTGACCGTCTGAAATCAAGGTCAGTGAATCTTGAAAAAGATTTACAAGAGAAAAAGGTAACAGCTCCTTTTCCCTTTTGATTTGTGCATTACTAATGTGCAAGATGGTCATAGATTGGCGCAAGATGCTCATTCACATGTGTGCATGCATCTATTGCGTTTCAGATTTTTTTTTTCCTGCTTGTTCTTTAAAGAGCTATGAAGACTTGTTAACTTGTTGATTTTGACTTCTGTTGGTTTCAGAAATCAAATGATAACCAAGTCAATGCAGCAGAAAATAGCTACTGGGATGCAAATAAGCGTTGGAAAGACACTGAGTCTCAAGTACAGGCTAAAGCTCAAATAAAGGTCAACCAGTCAAGTCTTTTTCCCGTCCATGAAGGGTACTTGTTAGTTGTAGATGCGCTAAATGTATTTCTTTCTGATTCACGTTTTTTTCCCCCACTTATTGCAATCCTCTACAGAATAGTATTTCCAATCGGATTAAGGACAAGGAACCTGTGCTCGCGTCTTACGAGGAAAAGATATCTGATGTAAATTTTTCTCGTATTGAAGAAAAGGAAAAGAATATGGTAATGATGATGTTTAAAGTTTTTTTTTTTTTTTTGTCTCTAGGGCTTACGTATACACTGCATGTGGTTCCTTTGACATTTCTAATCGTTGCAGCGAATAGAGATTGAAAGAAAGACTAATCAGCTTGCTGAACGAGAGTTTGAGTCAAATATACGCCAGAAGCAAAGTGAGTTCTATGGTATTGAACAACAAATTAAGGCACTTAATCGGGAGAAAGATGTCTTGGCTAGTGATTCTGAGGACAGAGTTATGATGTCTCTCAAGAAGGCGGAATTGGATAATCACAAAAAGAAGCATAGAAAAATGTAATGTTTCCCGGTTTTTGTGCTGCATTGTTGTGCTTCAATATACCGTGGCCTCTGTTCATCAGTTTTTATATATAGTTATGGCTTCCGCGACCTGCTATAGTTAGTTATCTTTGGTGTATTTACTTTTACCAGAATTGATGAATACAAAGATAAGATCAGAGGAGTGCTAAAAGGGAGGCTTCCTGTTGATAAGGATCTGAAGAAGGAAGTTACACAAGCCTTAAGGTTATTCAGATCTTATTTACAATGTCTCTTTGTAGATTTCTTATTCTCGGGAATTTATATGGCAGTGCTACTTGATGGGTGTTTTCTGATTCATTGGGTCTGGCTAAAGTAAAGCGTCTTAACTCTTACTCTTGTCTCAATCAATTTATACTGTTGGGCATTGGATTTGTGAAGCTAGACACATTTTCAGACAGTTCAACCACATCCCGATGTAGTAATATCGTACAATCTGTTGCAATGATGTGAACAAGTTAATTAGTGGAGCTTCTCAATGATCTGTTAGTTACGCTGTTATCTTATATTTCTTCGGAGCCAAACGAACGATCAGTTCTGCTTTACTGTTGGATAGTTGGCATGTGCAATTTGGTGTGAGTAGATGTCTATATATATCGAGATAATCCTCTGGGAAAAATGATCTAGCTTCAGGTTTCCTTGATTGTGAGCTGCAACATTGAGCTTAATATAGTTCTTGCCTTTTTCTGAACTTGCTCATAGCCTGTTCCGGGTGAATTTCACAGGCATTTTTCAGCAATATAATGTGGACACTTGCACGTTGAATACTTGCAAATCATATCCTAAACTGTCCTGCTTGACCAGTGTTTCTTGAGTAAGGCAATATGATATCGAGTCTGATATCAGCCCTTTCTTCCTCCCAAGTCGCTGCATGGAATATCTGGTTTTTAATTGTGCTCTCTGATTTGCAATTATGATTAGGTTCTCTGAACTCCTGGTTGTTTTAACATAGGTCAAAATGGTGTTCTTTTTGGCTTTTGCTTAGCTATTTACTTGTGAATTCCTGAACAATAACATATTGAATCTGTTCCTGGAGTAGGACTCTTACTGGTGAGTTTGATGACTTGAATTCCAAAACCCGTGAAGCGGAGAAGGATGTGGAGGTGCTGCAAATGAAAATCAAAGAGACTGAAAATAATATCTCCAGACTCCACAAAGATATGGATGGTGAGTATCATTTTATCCCTAACAAAATGGAGAGCTTGGATGCTTCAAAACTCCATGTACATGCAAAGATTTTTCTTTTATTATTATTTGGATTGTTTATGTTGCTGCCAAGTTTGAACGTACAGTGACTCTCATCCCAATGCAACTGGGCGTTCAACCCCTTGGGAGTATATGAGATTTTTATTTGATGCTTCTGCACCAATGCTGTCATTGATGGGAATACCTGCCGTGATTTAGGTCAATTTGGTATTATGTGTCAGTTGGGGGTGGTTTAGCTATGTTTATTTTGCATGTGGATTGATACTTTTCTAGTAAGAGCGCCGGCATGTTTAGGTTGCTACTCAGTGGTCTACCTTTGGCCTTTTGCACTATGGAATAACTTACTCATAATTGGCTGATGCAAGTTAAGAAACACTAAGTTCTCAAGGAAAATTAAAGTCGAGTCTGGCTCTCTTCAATTCCTGTTGAGGGGATCTATTTTACTTTCGGTTTCCACCTAACTTCTGCTTATGCGATAAATGAATGTAGCTCGAAAGAGATCTATCGAATCCAAGCTGCAGTCATTGGATCAACAATCTTCCACCATTGAGTCTTACTTTAAAGCTTTGGAATCAGCAAAGGAGAAAAGAGATGTCCAGAAAAGGTTTTCTTTGTCTTACCAATGTGCATGTCACTGCATTGACTCAGTTTTCAGTTTTTGTTGCCACATTGGGACTTATATGATGTTTACTTCCTGTTTGCAGCAAGTATAACATTGCTGATGGCATGCGGCAAATGTTTGATCCTTTTGAACGAGTTGCCCGCGCTCATCATCTCTGCCCTTGCTGCGAGCGTCCTTTTTCTCCCGAGGAGGAAGATGACTTTGTCAAAAAGGTCTGTGTTCCATAACCCAATTCTGTGCTGATTCTGGATCGAGGTGTAAACTGGTTTCATTTGCTAAAATTCTTCCTGGGTACACTGAAAGTGCAGCAAAGAGTTAAAGCTGCAAGTTCTGCAGAGCACATGAAAAAGTTGTCCATTGATTCTTCAAGCGCAGATTCTATCTTCCAGCAGCTGGACAAGCTCCGTATAGCATATGAAGAGTATGCCAAACTTGGCAAGGACACAATACCTCTGGCAGAGAAAGCTCTGCATGAGCTTAAAGAAGAGCTTGATCAGAAGTCTGAGGCCCTTGATGATGTAAGTATTGACACTTGCAGTTTGTTATCAGTACATAAATTGACTTTCGTGATCAATCTCATTCATCATAGGGTTCCTGTGTTTCTATTGTAATGACTAATCCTTAAGAACATCTAAGGCACAGCTAAAGCAATATGGATAAAGGGTTGTTAAAAATAGTTACTTACCATAACCTCCTACCACTGCATGAAAAATAGAATGGTAGAAGGCTACTGGGCCACCCAAGGATCATATGTAGTGGAACATTTTGCTTTGGATTGGCTATAGTTGCTGAATGGTTGTAGTTACGGGTTACAGGCTGAACTATGGGCAGTTGACAGTTTTGGATGCTTTTTCTTCACATTGTCTCTCGTTTCGTTCTTTTGATTGTTTCTCTATCTGCTCTTGCTAAGCTAACCTCAATTTTGTCTCCTATATGACTAGAGTGTAACATAGCAAGTTTGTTGGTGAACTTCAAAGTGGAAGTTGGGCACTAAATATTTCCTCATTACACCTGCCCAAATCGAGTAGTTACCACTTAACTGGTTTTCCTTGTAGCTTTTGGGAATCTTGGCCCAGATAAAGGCTGATAAAGACTCAGTTGATGCAATAGTGAAACCTATTGATACTGCGGATAGGCTTCATCAAGAAATTCAGAGTTTGCAAAAGCAAGTTGATGATTTGGAATACAAGCTTGACCTACGCGGACAAGGTGCCAGGTCTATGGAAGAAATCCAGTCTGAACTTAATGCTTGTCAGAGTACAAGGTACTTAGTTCCAACTTATCATTTTTCCTAGCCTGTGTTTCTTCTACTTGTGCTAAATCTTACAGGAGCTGCATTGACAGTCTCGGGCATAAAAATTGAATATGTTTGGACTCATATTCTTTCTAATGGAATGTAAAGACTTATTTCGCTTGCACTTGGGCGAGGGTGTTTTGGCCTGGACACTTTTGTGCTTGTTTAACTACCTTTTGTGCGAAATGAAGCACCAAAAGGATTGGTATATTATGTTTATTTTCTGGTTGGATGTGGCCCTGGCATTATTATTGTGACTGCATATTGTAAATCTTTGATCTCATTTTGGAATTAACACCACCATCCTTATTTTTCTTCTGTTTTCCTTTTCCATTTAAAAAGATCTCGAGGCATCAAGAAATTCTTAGGAACTTTATTATTCTCCAAATGTTTTGTATGCTGTCCTACATCCTTGCTGTGGTTAGATTTCTTTTCTTCCAGGATCCTTTCTGGGAAATCCAGATGCATCAAACACTTGATTACCTATTCTCAGCTTATATTACCCGTGCGAGCAAACTATATTAGGCTATTGGTCATTTACCAATTATTTCTATATTTACAATGTTTAGCATTTGACGTATTCTGCTGTGTCAAATCATTTGATTGATTACATTTTTCTATTGGTAACCAGGGACTCCCTGCAGAGTGAACTGGAAAAGTTAAGGGATGAGCAAAGGTATATGGAAAACGATCTGCAGAACATACAGCTTCGCTGGCATGGTCTAAGGGAGGAAAAGGTTGAAGCATCAAACCTATTATGTAATCTCAAAAGGCTAGAGGAAGAGTTGGAAAAGTTGGCTGAGGAAAAAAATCAAGCTGAGCTTGATGAGAAGGTTGTATTTCATACCTGGATGAGTTGTTACCTGCTTTCCATTATGATATCTGGATTTGTGATGAAACAAAAAAACAGGTCTTTTTTTAGAGTGAAATTACTTGGAAACTGATAAACTTTACTGTAAGACCAGTTTCGAAATTATGAACCTTAAATTAAGGTGAAGTCATCAATTGCCTGTCTGAAACGTGAGAGTGCTTCCAAGAGCCAAAAAGGGGCTCGGGTTTGAGCTGGTCATGATACCTGTGGGACATAGATACAAAAGATTGGGATGGAGTGAAATTGTAGTTTAGCTATTGGCTGATGTAGAAAAAGTGACCATGGTAGTTGCATTTGGTGATGTATCCAGGATTTGCTTCAAACCAGTTTAAGCTGGTCATGATTCTTGCTATATGCTCCAATTTTACTATAAGATACAGAAACTGCTACATTTTTCACTTTACCTTTGAGCTAATAGGAAGGGTGTTGTTGTCACAGCTAGAAAACTAGGAGCAGCATGATGTTTCCCAGATCAAAAACTTCTTTTTGTTGAAATTTTCAAACAAGGTGTTGTATGTGTTTCTAAGAATATGTTGGTAGTTTCCCCCCTTTTTATGAACGTTCTGAAAGTTTTCTTATAGATCTTCCTGGGTGGCTCACTATCGGTGACATGTAGGAAGCAAATGAGGTCTTTTCGCATTATCATAATCAGAAGCTTATCTTCTTTGTTCCTTCTCCAGCATTTAGCAGCAGCTCTTGGCCCTTTATCCAGGGAGAAGGAGAAACAACAGAGTGACCATAAAGAACTGAAAATCAAACTTGAGCAGGAGTATGAAGAACAGAGAAAAGAATTGGATGAGTATCAGATGGAAGTTGACACAGTGCTGAAAACCATGTCTAAAATTAAGGAGTAAGTTTTTTTAATTGATGATATTCAGCAATGATATTCTCAGGATAATTTGTGTTTACCTTCAATCTTGAACTGCCAGGTACTATGATTTAAAGAAGGGCGAGAGACTGAAAGAGGCGCAAGAAAAGCTATCTATATCTGAGTCTCAACTTGAAGACTGCGAGACAGTGAAAAAGAAACATTCAAATGATATAAGTACGTTAAAGGGAGACTATGACAAACAAGAGAAACTTAGAAGAGAAATCGAAGACAACTTAAATTATAGGAAAACCAAGGCTGAAGTCGAGAGGCGTACTAACGAGATCGAAACATTGGAAAACACAGTGTTACAAATGGGTGGATCCTCAAAGTTTGAAGTTGATCTGAGAAAGCTTTTACAAGATAGGGACCGGCTTCTGTCAGAGGTATGCATTCTGCCCAGGAATTTCTCTTCTAATATCATCTATTTTTTCAGGTATAAAGAATACTATTGCTGTCTGGTGGTTTCCTGAATTAAATGGAATGTCATGTTAGCTCCCTTTGATTCTCTTTATTTCATGTTATGTGTTAGTAACTCCAGCATACTCCTGATGTATAAAGTACTATAATCTGGAATATATAAAGACTTGGTACAAAGTTTGAACAAATAGCTAGGAGCTGACTTGAAGTGACCGGTTGATTATTCTGCAGTTTTGGCTTTTCTCGTCAACAGACCATAGTCCATGTCGTGAGGGAGATTGTGCATTTTCTTTTTCTTGTTTATGTTTTCCTTTTTATTCTTTCATTTATTATCAAGATTATTGATCCTCGGGTGATGATGGTTAATTCCCTGTAAATTAAACAGTTGAATAGATGTCGAGGAACCATGTCTGTCTTTCAAAGCAACATCTCGAAGAATAAAGTTGAGCTTAAACAGGCCCATTATAAGGATATAGACAAGCGTTACTTTGATCAGCTACTACAGCTCAAGGTGTGCATTATTATTGTTCTTGCTTTTGTTTAATGAGCATTTTCAGATTTTCCTTGGCATTACATAGCTAACTGAAAAACTTCGTGGCAGACCACTGAAATGGCCAATAAGGACCTAGACAGATACTATAATGCTCTTGACAAGTAAGTTGTCTCTGGTTATAAAAGCAAATTCACCCCTTATTTGCTAGAGATGTCAATAGCAGTGCTCTGTAGTTGACTGTCTTCTAATATCGGGCAGAGCACTCATGCGGTTCCACACCATGAAAATGGAGGAAATCAACAAAATCATCAGAGAATTATGGCAACAAACCTATAGGGGACAAGACATAGATTACATACGAATACATTCAGATGCTGAAGGTTCCGGGACTCGTTCTTACAGCTACAAGGTACGTGACACATGTTCATAACTCATTTTTGCTTCCTCTCGTGAATGTTCCCTTCTCTAACAACAATTTCGCCCGTATACAATATGCCAGGTGCTCATGCAGACCGGTGATACAGAGCTTGAAATGAGAGGAAGGTGCAGTGCTGGCCAGAAGGTAAAGCCAACTCATTGTGCTCAGTGAAAAGATGAGTTAAACTTGAAACGTGGGGTGCCTGAATTTCTTATGTGATCTCAGGTGCTTGCATCTCTCATCATTCGGTTAGCTTTAGCAGAAACATTCTGCCTCAACTGTGGAATACTAGCACTAGATGAGCCCACGACAAACTTGGACGGCCCAAATGCCGAGAGTCTCGCAGGGGCGTTGCTAAGGTAAGAACCGGATCAGAACACAACCCATGGGGCGAGGGTCCATATCGTCATCCATACTTCAGCTGCACGTCTGATTCTCTCTGCATTTTCTTGATCCAGAATTATGGACGATCGAAAGGGGCAGGAGAACTTCCAGCTGATTGTGATTACTCATGACGAGCGTTTCGCTCATCTGATTGGGCAGCGGCAGCATGCTGAACGATATTATAGAGTCGCAAAGGATGACCAGTAAGTGAAGCCTCTATCTTCCCTTTTACTGAAAACCTCATCCTGTGTTTTCGTTGTCCTGATCGCTTTTCGTGTTTTTGTTTCTCTGATGGCAGCCAGCACAGCATAATTGAAGCTCAAGAGATCTTCGATTGAGCTTTGGGTTTATTACGTTCTTTTGTATTTAAAGCTGTATATCGGTGTGAAGATGGTGTTCGGTGAAAGGCAATGCTGAGTGCTGAGAATGTTAAGAGCTGATAGAGTGTGTTTTGTAGGTATCCATTTCACACTTTCGACAACTTCCTTTGACAGCTTTGCTCCAATTGAGCGCAGTTAAAACCATTGTAGACGAAATCAAGGATTCTATTTAATTAGATGTCGTTTGTTACATGGAATGAATCATCCATGAAACTGAATTCCAAATGTTGACTCGGGTAAACAACTGGGTCACGATTCGATTGATCGAGACAGTTTCCGTGAACTTGACAACGACTCGTATTTGAGGTGAATAGCTGGGGTACTAAGTGCACTCGACCAAACTGTTAAAACCAACTGGTTGGTTTTGACAATTCGACCAAATCCGGTTGAAACTAACGTGGTCACGTAGAAACTGCAGGATGGCTGGTCACGGTCAAACAGGGTTCAACTGGCCAGTTCCACGACCCAGATCCGGTCAGTTAAGAGCGCAAAACCAACATAGAACAAAGAAGTACCTTGAAATCTGTAAATCGACTGCTTGCTTTATTGATCTTACCAACAATCAAAGTAATAGAAACAAAGGGGAAAAGAGGGCAAGGTTTACATGAAACAGCAGAGCATCCAACAAACAAGGAAAATATTGTGAAATGGACAGCCTAACTACAACAAAGCCAGAAAAGAAAAAATAAAACAAAAGACAGGAAGAAAAAACCCCTTCTTTTCCTTTCTTTGGTGGGGGGATGATCATAAATCGGGTAAATTTCATGCTGCTACTTCATTAACACAAATCGGATGCAGTATCATCAAACCCTAATTACTCCTTGTACTTCATCTCAGACATGAGGAACCCAGGCATGTCAAAGGAACCTGCAAATTTCTCCACATCAGCTTTCAAGGCCTCAATCTCCTTGTTGTCCACCAACCCCTTGTTGAAGTCCTTCAACAGCTTTCCATATTCCTTCTGGATGCTCAGCGTCAAGGTCACCGCACGATGGAGGAACTCTCCAATCTGCTCAAAGTCCTTCTCTAGCAACCCTCTTGAAGTCATGGCCGGTGCACCTACCACCAAACAACCAACCAACAAAGTCAGTAAAAGGTTTTGCCACCCACTACAGATTCAGTCAAAGTTAATTTGAGCTGTGCTGATTCTTCTTACCAATTCTCACCCCTCCTGGGGCCAAAGCACTACTGTCACCAAACACGGCGTTCTTGTTCACAGTGATGTTGCAGAGATCACAGAGCTTCTCCACCTTGTTGCCTGCAAGTGAAGAAACAAGCATGAATCACCCAACAACATATTGTCACGACCATGCCTCTATAACAATTGAGCATTTATGGAAGAAACATTAGTCACGATTGGGTTCCCTCGGCTTACCAGTCAAGCCAAGAGGTCTGAGATCCCACAAAACAAGGTGGTTCTCAGTTCCGCCAGTTACCATCTTGTACCCTTTCTTCATCAAATAGTTACCAACAGCAACTGCATTGGCCTTCACTTGTTTAGCATAGGCCTTGAATGCAGGGGTGTTGGCCTGCTTCAATGCAACAGCAAGAGCACCGATCTGGTGATTGTGAGGACCTCCCTGAAGAGAAGGGAACACTGAGAAGTTGATCTTGTCCTCGAAATCGTAGGTCGCGCCTTCTGGCTGACCCTTCTTTGCTGGCTTAGGTCCCTTGCGGTAGAAGATCATACCAGCTCTAGGACCCCTCAAACTCTTGTGGGTAGTGGTCGTCACAATGTCACAGTACTCGAATGGGTTGTTAGCTTCCTATATAGCATTCAACGAGAAGAACATATCTCTTATTAGTTTAATCCCAAGAAAGATCTTCACTTCATGAACGCAAACAACATTATAAGATATTTACAAACCACCCACCATGACCAAGATATCTTACTTTGACTATTAAACATCAGTAGTTTACAATATAAAATGAAATGTTGTGGAAAGGAAACAACATACAGATCTGGACAAATTATTAGAACATATAACACAAAAGCAACACTACTTGTACTACCAAAGACAAACACTTCAGCCACCACAATTCTAATTGTAGAATTATAGAATTCAAGCCATCATAGGCCTAAACCAGATCCTAAATCTAGAATGAATGATAAAAACAATACAAATACAATACAGATCCATTGCTGCAATGAGAGCACAATTGAGATCCAGCAAGCATGCCCCCAATAAGCAACAACCTGATATCGAATCAGATCCAATTTAACATAAAGGGAAAGCCAGAAGCTAATCCGAAGAAGAGGCGGTTATACCTGAGCAGCAACAAGGCCACTAATGTGAGCCATATCGCAGAGCAAAAGAGCGCCACACTTATCAGCAACCTCCCTGAACCTCTTATACTCCCAATCCCTAGGGTAGGCACTGCCACCACAGATAATCAATTTGGGCCTGAAATCCAGAGCCTTCTCCTCCAGCTTATCGTAATCGATGTACCCAGTCTCGGAATTCACCTTGTAGGGCAAGCTCTCAAAGTAAATTGAAGTAGCGGAGATCTTCTTACCGCCGGAGGTGTAATACCCATGAGTGAGATGCCCACCGGAGGGCAAATCGAGACCCATAATCCGGTCATGGGGCTCGAGGACGGCGGTGTATGCGGCGAAATTGGCAGGGGAGCCGGAGTACGGCTGCACATTGACACCCCACTTTGCCGGATCGCAGTGGAAGGCCTCCAATGCGCGGGATCGGCAGAGGTTCTCGATCTGGTCGATGTACTCGTTGCCGCCGTAGTATCGGTTGCCGGGGATCCCTTCGGAGTACTTGTTGGTGAGGGCGCTGCCGAGGGCCTCGATGACGGCGAAGGAGGTGAAGTTCTCGGAGGCGATGAGCTCGATCCCGCGGCACTGGCGGCGCTTCTCCTTCTCGATGAGGTCGTGGATCTCTGGGTCCACCTGGTTCAGTGGAGTGTTTCCCCATACTGTGACTGGATCCATTTTCTCTTCTTCTTGGTGAGATTCAGAGAGAGGAGGAGGAGGAGAAGAAACAGAGTAGGGGAGAGGGAGAAAACAGGGTGAGGAGGAAATGGAGACGGAAAAATTGGAGGGGCTTAAAATGGAGGAGGTGATGATGGTGAAATGACGGTTATGGCCTTTGGTTTTTGTTTTTTCTGTTTGTTTCTATTTTTCGGCAGAAAATCCGATAATTCCCTTTTTCCGATTATTAAAGCCTGTAATTTTCTGAATTCCTGGTGTTATTTTATTTTACGAGTTTGGTGGGGGTAGGTGAGGGTGTACTATAGCTATGGTGGGCTGCCAGTGTGCCACCAGATCCCAGAGTAAAGAGGGTTTTTTTTCTTCTGATTTAGGAGTAAAGAGTATTATTGGTATTTGGTAGTTGGTAAAGGAACAAGTGGCTATGGACCATTGTTATAAGAATTGAATCGGATTTCTGGTTGGGTCAGTAGAACCACTTTAGTAGTTATGATATGAGTCTGATTCATTTTTTGAACACTTATTGATGGACCATAAAACTAAATGAATCATCACAGTTTAACTTGTTCAATGATTCACTATTTTAATCAAAAAAATGTTTAAAAATACTTTAATGTAAACTAAGACTATCAAACCATAAATATTAATTCTATATCTACTTTCTCTTCTCATTTTTCAACATTGTTATCGGTTTTACGTTGTCCACTACCGACTGACACCATAATTTTTAATTTGAACTAAAAAATTATGGTTTCTACGGGTTGAATGATTTATTAAATAGTTTGATGATGAGAATTTGAAATTGTTTATAATAATGATAACTTCATGCTTAATTAGTGTAATACACAAGTCTTATAGGTTATATATAATGAACGATTCTATCGACGGTTAACCAACGATTTTATAACGGTTAACCACTGAACACTAAATCACCAACTTTTCCGGTTCAGTCTCCGGTCCAATTTTAAAAAGAGAGGTATGGACCATGCAATAAGCCAATATTGTTTGATGGATGTAAACAATTTTATGTTTGTTCTATGGAAAATTGGAACTTAAATTTGTGGAGTTCATGGATTTGGAAACCTGTAAGAAATTATTTTCATGGATCTAGTGAATTTATAAATCTCACCTTTTATTTGGAATTTGGTGTTTATCGGAATGCAAGTACGTGAGAAACTTAGTGCAATTTTTTTAACAATGATAAAGAATCTACTCAAATAATACAATAAATTCATCGTGAATTCAACACTGATTTCTTTTTTGCGCAATAAAATCGTAGAACCGACTTTCTTTCGCTTGCTTGAGGATGTCCTTTGTAGGGTTGGTGAAGGACTCCATTGTAATTTTGTGATTCGAGTTGACGACTGTTGGTCCTTGAATAATTTCCCACCAATTTTGTGGTTTTGTTGGTTCAACATTAGTAGACTACGAAGACTTCATTCCAATGCACCACATGCCATTGCCAATTACCAACCGCGCTCAAAAAAGGGTATTTCGATTCATGCTCTTTCTCAAAAGGGGCAGATAAGTCAAAATGATGCCACCTGCTTAATCCGCGGATTGATATCGATCCCCCGCAAATAATTCGATCCGGAAGTAGTGGATGATTGATGTGGGTGAATTGCGGATTGATAAATCTCTCACCCGCACTTATGTGGGTGGGTGGATTGCGGGTCATTCATCCTATTTTCACATGAAAAAATATTGTTTCTTATAGTATCGAATATTGAATATTGGAATGCGAATTATTATTAATATCCATTAAACATTGGAATGAAAACTGCATATTATTAATTGTATTAGGATCACAAAATGCGTGAGTTTTCTCTACACAATTGGTTGATAGAATAGTAAAATTTTTCATGAAAATACTACATGGACTTACTTGAGACAAAGTAAAAAGTGTCTAGATTGATACAAGCTTCCTAATTTGCTATGAGCTTATTATAAATATTAGTCAACTTTCTTAATGTCGAGTTGGAAAATTGTTTTTAACATATGACCCAACCGCATCCATCTGCCACCCACCCAACTCGACCCGTAGAAGAATGTGGATGAATTACGAGACACAATTATTCCAATTCGCTAATAAACAAGTGAGTCAATTTGAGACAAAAACCCACCCAACCCAATTTTTGCCATTCCCACCCACGAGACCAGAGATTAATTAAAGAAACAATTATTATTAATATACTTGTATTAGAGAGTTGGCCTTCACTCACATATACATATAAATAATGAAAAAAATGCAATCCACAAGATTTGGGCAATTGAATGAGGATGTAAGTGGGCGATAATGACATCTTGGCAGTTTGGAACTCCACCAAAAACTTCACCAACCAATGCACCTACCCCTGCCCTAATCTAATCTAATTTAATTTAATCTAATATAATCTAATTAGTAGTTTTTCCTTCACTACTGTTATGTCATCATTCAGTCAACAACGACTCCCCAGCTCATTACAAAATGGAGTATTTTAATTATGGTAGACAAGATTTATTTTTTATGCACTCGTATCATAAACTCTGAAAATAAAATAAATTACCATTACCATGCCCCTTTTATTAGAATATTAGTCGGGAAAATATTAATTTCATTGGCGATGCAATAACGAGTGACTGCCTAGATTGTTTTACGAATTAGTTGTTTGGTAAAATTGTGTGAAAAAAAGAAAGATAAGTTAGTGTGAGACTGTAAATAAATCTACCTGCTTGATCAACCAAATCGCGCACAAATAATCGTTAAACGGCTAATGTTGCATAGTTTCAATTTTGAGATTTATTATGAATTCTACACATTAATTGTGTGCAGAGTTCGTGGAGCGCGGAAACCTTAGGCCAATTACCTTTCAGTACAAGGGGATACGAAATGAATGGGCGACGGAGCGGCCGTGACTTGGGGCAGAAGAAAGCTGGGGATGAAGGAGTAAGCAGTACAGCCAGTAGATAGATCTGTGTTTGCTCTAATACCATGTCAAGAACCAGTTAGTTCCAATAATCGAGTTATTGAAAGAGGTTCAATAACGGATCATATACCGTGATAACGTGCACATCACTCCACCCCACGGGAAAAAAAAAAACAAATGCACATGCCGTTCATTCATTCATTCATCAATGCCGCTTCTTTGGTTGGTCGGTCATATGGTAATTGAGCAAGAAAAAAAAAAAAATGATGAAGAAGAAGACAACCCTCTCGTTTTGTCAAAGATATTTTTCTCCAGATCACCGACGGAGGATCGGCGACGTGCCTCCTCATTTCTCACAAGCTTTTTTCTAAGAACTGTCGGTTTGCAGACATAGACGGCCCCGCACCAGCTAAGCAATTAGGTCGAATACTCGACCCGAGAGACGTTCCCGTGTGTGTGGTTAATTGCACAATTTGGAATGTGACCCGACGGCCGCCGACATAGCCCACCGGATCCAGATCGGCCTGATTCGTTCGATGCTCCGGCAGCCGGAGTCGAGCCCCAATCTTTGTTCTCTTTTTCCGTTGATAGATTCCGGTGATAGATTTCGGTTGAGGTTTGTTGGCCGATTGACTAGTTTTTTAAGAGATATAAGATTTATAATTAATTTTCGTCAAACAACTAGAATTATTGGAACCAATTCGGTTTTACAACACTAGTCACAACGATTTAATTGTTGTATGGCTGATGCATTATTTGGCTTCATTACTAATTATTAGGGTTCTATTTTGTGCCAAGCTATACGTATTGGCATTTTTCCATGAAGCGTTGTGTTTTTGTTCATCGGTGGTATCGACACGATCTGCCCATACTTATTATTGGAAACGCTCAAGAAGTGGCAGACAAAGTGGCATCGAGTTCGAATGAGGACGCTCGTGACGCAGAGCTATTTTCGTGAACTACACATGTTAATTACTCGTTCAGTTACTGCTAGCAAAGTTTGCATAAAGACCTCGAAATGTAAAGCGGGATGCAATAAGACAAAAATCTGAATAACCTACAATATTATTCAAAATTTCGATACATTTGATTAAATACAGTTTAGAGCACTCTCATGTTTCCACCAACTTTATAATAGAATTGAACATCAGCTTATAAATCTAGATTGTTAGCCAATAGATTGTGGCTTACTAACAATAAAATTTCGTCTCCTCTAACTAAAAAAACCCCATTCAAGAATAAACTAAACATTTTACCTTCAAAATTCTAAAATCTTAGTTTGTTAAAACCGAAAATCTAATGCTACTCCCCAAAATTCTGGATTTTCTCCCCCATAAATTTCTATATTTTATTGGAGGAGACAAATATCCATATAGATTTACAAACTAAAAAATTAAGTAAATAACATAAAAAAGAAAACCAATTATACAAGCCAAGATCTGATTCCTCTCCCCCAACCTCCCACACGACCATCAATCAGACGACACGTGTCAACCTCGAACCAATACCCCGCCGGATCACCGTCCGATTCAATCACCACCGCGACAAGTGGGACCTACACCCCATCCTCCCGTTCCGTTCCCGCCGCATGCGATTACTTTTTCCACCAACCCCACCAAATCCAGCCATATACGACACCGTTTCGCTCACCCCGAAACCAGATCCAATCTCAGCCGTCCATCTCATCCCCCGCTTCCTCTTTATAAATCCCACCATTCCCCTTCACTCTCCCTTATCCCTCTCACACTCTCCTTCTCCCCCAAATTCCCAGATCCCCAATTTCGCCGTCGCCATGGCTCTCATCGTCGACAAAACCACCACCGGCCGTGAGTACAAGGTCAAGGACATGTCCCAGGCCGACTTCGGCCGCCTCGAGCTCGAGCTCGCCGAGGTCGAGATGCCCGGTCTCATCTCCTGCAGGACCGAATTCGGCCCCTCGCAGCCCTTCAAGGGCGCGAGGATCACCGGATCCCTCCACATGACCATCCAGACCGCCGTCCTCATCGAGACCCTCACCGCCCTCGGCGCCGAGGTCCGCTGGTGCTCCTGCAACATCTTCAGCACCCAGGACCACGCCGCCGCCGCCATCGCCCGCGACTCCGCCGCCGTCTTCGCCTGGAAGGGGGAGACCCTCCAGGAGTACTGGTGGTGCACCGAGAGGGCCCTCGACTGGGGTCCCGGCGGCGGGCCCGACCTCATCGTCGACGATGGCGGCGACGCCACCCTCTTGATCCACGAGGGTGTGAAGGCTGAGGAGGAGTACGAGAAGACCGGGAAGATGCCCGATCCGGCTTCTACCGATAATGCCGAGTTCCAGATCGTGCTCACGATTATCAGGGACGGGTTGAAGGGCGACCCCAAGAAGTACCACAAGATGAAGGAGAGACTGGTTGGTGTTTCTGAGGAGACCACTACCGGAGTCAAGAGGCTGTACCAGATGCAGGCCAATGGAACCCTTCTGTTCCCTGCTATCAATGTCAACGACTCTGTCACCAAGAGCAAGGTAAATCTCTATTCATTACAATTCTTATTTGTTCTGTTCATGAGTGGTAGATCTGGAATGAATCTGTGATTGCCTAAGTTTGTTGAGGTTGCAGTCTTTCAGATCTGATATTTTGATATGCTTATAAGTTAAATTGGTACGTGAATTGAGAAAAAAGAATCGAGCTTTAGGTGGTTGGTTGCTGTTAGAACGACATTTAGGGGTTGTATGAGTGTTAGATCCGTTACCCTTATTAGTGATTTACATGTTTACTCAACTTTCATGGTTTGGATATGTTACCGGTTGATTTTTGCTGTTATTGTTTGTGGCTAATGTTTGGATTCCATCTGTGTTTTTACAGTTTGACAACTTGTACGGTTGCCGTCACTCCCTCCCCGATGGTCTCATGAGGGCCACCGATGTCATGATCGCTGGTAAGGTTGCCGTGATCTGTGGTTATGGTGATGTCGGAAAGGGCTGTGCTGCTGCCATGAAGCAGGCTGGAGCTCGTGTGATCGTGACTGAGATCGATCCCATCTGCGCTCTTCAGGCTCTCATGGAAGGTCTCCAGGTCTTGACCCTCGAGGATGTGGTCTCTGAGGCTGACATCTTCTGCACCACCACCGGCAACAAGGACATCATCATGGTCGACCACATGAGGAAGATGAAGAACAACGCCATCGTCTGCAACATCGGTCACTTTGACAACGAGATCGACATGCACGGTCTCGAGACCTTCCCCGGGGTGAAGAGGATCACCATCAAGCCACAGACCGACAGGTGGGTCTTCCCCGACACCAAGAGCGGCGTCATTGTGTTGGCTGAAGGGCGTCTGATGAATCTCGGATGTGCAACTGGTCACCCCAGCTTCGTCATGTCCTGCTCGTTCACCAACCAAGTGATTGCTCAGTTGGAGCTCTGGAACGAGAGGTCGAGCGGCAAGTACGAGAAGAAGGTCTACGTTCTGCCCAAGCATCTTGATGAGAAGGTTGCTGCTCTTCATCTTGGCAAGCTCGGAGCCAAGCTCACCAAGCTGACCAAGGACCAGTCTGACTACATCAGCATCCCAGTTGAGGGTCCTTACAAGCCTGCTCACTATAGGTACTGAGCAACACCACCAAGTGGAGAGTTGGGGAGAATTTCATGGATGAATGACTGTTAGGTTCTTCTTTTCTCCCCTTTTTAGAGTTCTGTTATGTGGCTGGAATGGGTTTTTGGAGGAGAGAGATGTGGGTTGGGTCTTTTGACCACAACGGGGATTGATGAATAATGTTTGGGTTTGGGGAATGTGGCTGTGTGGGATAGATTTTGGGTTTCAGTTTCTGCAAATTCGGATTTTTCTGCCGCTGCTGCGTGCTGCGCCGGCTTATCATCATTTTTTACTTGGAAAAGATACAGAGAAAATGAAGATTTGTTGAGCTTCACTAGCATGTCTTTGATTGGTTGCTAGTGGTATCGTATATGTTAGGATGTCATCAAACTAAGATTGTAGATGGTTTCATATAAAACCAAGGTTGAAAATGGTTGCATTACAAAAAAGGTGCAAGACCCTGGCGGGCTGTGCTAAACTTTGGACCCTCAAATGCTCATCCAAGAAGGGAAGCAAACTGCAGTACTTAAGATGTACGAGAAATAAGATCAGATCAGTAGAGTAGAGGTTTATTTTCTACCAAAAAAATAAAAAAGCAGAGGTTTACGAAAATAGTTCCAACGATGAGAAAATCTTGACAAAATCATATAGACTGGATCTACCTTACGCAGCTCCAGTAGCACAATCGCTTTATGTTGGTCCGAAAGCTAATACTGAGTTTCCCGGAACTGGGATGAGAGCCAGAACAGCATGGTTTTCATCGCAGCAGATTTGATTCTGTTGGTCGAAATCAAAAAGCAACCCATCACTTTAATGGAGGCATTCATATCCAATTCCACAGCACATCCATTTTCTGGCCAAACTTAGGCAGCAGATGCTGAGGAAGAACTTTCCAAGCCACTCTCCACTCAAATTGCCTGATACCCTTTATGGCCAAGGCGATACAACTTTCACTTCCAAGCATGCCCTCACTCGAAGCGGCAAAAACAGCACTTCGTGTCCAGAATGGCAGAATCCAGACTAGATAGTTGAAAGAGGAAATTTCTTTTAAGAAAACACAGTTCCACTTTGGGTAACACTGAATACCTGAACCCATACCTTAGAGACTGGAGTTCAATGGTGGCAGAGACTCCATAAAAAAGGAGGAATCTTTTCAGTGCTTCACTTCAAGATTAGTGGCAAAACTCTTTTGAAAGAGCTGATGCTTTTGAATTGATACACAAGAATGCAGAAACATATGCCTGCTGTCTGCTGACATGAACATGAACCCAGGAAATTGCAATCCCAAATTAGCAAACCCCTGAGATCCGACTTCATACACAGAGAACTATGGACAAACCCCAAGATCTGCGCCCCCAAAACTTCAAGCTAAATTAATGCACACTTTCACTTCATATAGGATCCTCAAAATATACAGAGAAGAAAAGACAGAAACCCAAAAAATGCATTGAATCTGGGCTTGAGAGGAAAACAAAGGGACTTGATTTCATTTCATCTTTTTAAAACAGAAATCAATCAGAAACGTCGTTGATTCCTCTACACCTGGTAATGACTTCACAACCCCGGTTGTAGGTGTTGGCGGCGCGAGGGTGACAATCGTAGTAGGAGGCACCTGGATTGTCGCAAGGGACCATGTCCCTCTTCAACGTCGCGTAGCTAATGTACTTCCTCTGCATTAGCATCACCCTCCTGCTGATCTCCGACTCCATTTCCGCCTCTTCTTCATAGAAGCCGCTGCCAACAACAACGCCGCCGCCGCTTTTAACTACCGAATCTGGGAACCCATTGCAGAATGGGGAACTGGGTAGGAGGAGAAAGAGAGAGAGGGACAGGATTTGGAGGAAAGTTTGGAGCTTTAGCATTTTGTGCCAAGAGCTCTCTCTGTCGACTGTAGGTTGGCTCTGGATGTGTCCCTGAAATTGTTTCTCTTTTGGGTGGGTTGTTTTACTGATTGTGAGTGATTATTTGCTGGGAAATAACAAATAAGTGAACTTTTTTTAAAGGGAAAAAAGCCAAGATGAGTGAAATTTCAATGGTGGGTAGTTGGGACTTGGGAGAGGTCATTAGATGCTGACAAGACAAGAAGGTGGTGGGAAAATAAGGCGATTTATGTTCGTGATGCTTAAATAATCATCACTGGGTTTTCGTTGGGATTTGGTTGGTTAGCACTCAAGCATCTATTGGAGGGAAGCAAAATTAGGGCTGGCCAGGAAATTGGCACTGGACAACTTTTTCTTCTTCAAAATGAATGCTTAACAGCATCTGATGTAGAACACTCCATGACCAAAACTGTCCAACTGGTCCTGGCCTCCTGGGTTCGAGTAGGCACTAAGAATTAATGATTACAGCTTTGTAGTGGATGTTCTGTGGAGAAAGAGCTGAAGTAAATGTGAAGGAGAACATGCTTAGCTATTGTGCATTGGAGCTTCAGGCCTATAGCGACTGTTGTCATCATGGGCTTCATATGCCTGTGCTGTGCTATCCACACCCATCACACTAAACCAAATAAATTGATATTGAAATCGAATTGAACCGAACTAAAGCAAGTCGTACGTACTCTAATACGATTCGATAATGAATTTCCCTTTATGTCCATTCTGGTTCTACTTCGATTCAGTTCGATTCTGGACTATATAGAACCACTGCATTCTCCTGGATAGATGCATCTTACAAAAAACTAAAAGATGTCAGTTCACGGCAAACACAGGACTGGAAAACTTTATCCTGCTGCCCTCTTCCTGACAGAAACAGTTTGGCCGAGACATCCGAACAGAGAGACAGCATCGATGGGTTGATCGCCTTCTGTTAGAGCTCTTAGGCAGGAATTCCAGACGGGAGTGTCGTGGTTGTCGAAGCGAGCAAAGATTTTTTGGGCGTAGGGGAAGAAGCCGTCGCGGGAGCAAACAGAAGCAACTTTGGTTAGGGGGAGGTCGGAGAGGGAGCCGTTGGTTCTGATAAGGTGGGAATGGAGCTGTTTGAGACGAATAATATCGAAAATTATGCTCGAGAGTCGTAGATCGAATTTGCATGAAACAAAAGAATGGTTTATAGAACTGCTGCATCACTTGAACTAACAAAGTTTGGGGTCTCATTGTCAGTTACATTAAAGCTAGTGTTCAGAAAACAAGGCACTCAGGAACTTGTCTGGTAAAGTTAACCATGGAAAGGATGTTTCTTCCCATGAATCACAGGGTACAAAAATTTCCCATGGCAAAGATTCCCGACGTGCAAAATAGCTCGCTGCATATACGATGCAAACATGGAAAATCAAGATCAACCCAGCTTGCTATCACGAGAAAAAGAAGCATAGCCAAGCCGAACATCCAAGCAACTCAGGCTGGCTTTACTTGAAGAGATCTGGGTTCAACCAGTCCCTGCAATATAGATTGACCATCGAGGTGATTACCGAGCTTAAACTCAACCAAATTAGACATCCATTTTGCATGTAAAAGCTTACTTGGTAACGTCGTCGAGGTGATCATCAAAATCAACCACATCTTGCCACTTCTCGGAAGAAATGTAGTCCAATAAGATCGTATTTGCAGCTGGCTCCTTAAATGTCAAGAGAATGCCTCCATCTGCTCCAACCAGCTTCCAATTCTTGTATGCATCCTTTGTGTAAAGCTGGAATAAGGAAAGCAACCCATTTAGTTCCTTGGGTAAAGGTTCAGAACCAGCAACTATATGTACAATCGTACCATAAAGAGAGAGCTAGCCAAAAGCAAAAAACAACTAGCATCGCACTGGCGTATTCATGATCTTAACTTACACAAGAGTATAAGGATGAACAACTCCCCCACGATTTTACTGAATCATGACTGTTCTATGTTTTCCATTGGTTGGAGCCAGATTTACCACATTATTCAATAAACTTTACCAATCTAAGCTAGATTCTATCCGAGGATAGAGATCTTGTTGCAGGTTCCTCACATCCAAAGCCTCGGGCATATTTCAATTAGAATATCACCAAGGATACTAATATAGTGTGGCTGCGATCCACCATTCAGTCACCATAAGCTGATACCTTACAGGCAGCAGGAGACTTCTATTACTCACAAGCTGGGCAAACACCCCATATCCAATAATTATATCTTAACCACAGAATACAGTAAGCTAAAAGCCTCCACTTTTGTTCACTTTTCAGTAACTTAGCACCAATTGATTTGGCTTTACAGGACAGATACGATCCCCTCTCAAAAGCTTAAAAAGCCATAGAAGCATAAGAAACGAACCTGCACAACAGGGCTGCGATCTTTCCCTTTCGGTAAAGCTTCAAGCTTCTTGTTATCTAGCTGCAGATGAAACCAAGAGGAAGTCAATCACACAGACTGAAATCCAAAGTCCAAGCTTACAAAACCACATCAAACAAGAATACAAATGACCTACCAAAAGAACAGCTGCCTGTGGGAAATAGCGAGAGATGTGATCAGCAATGTTCTTCGACATGTTACCAAGCTCGGCGTCATCGAACCTCTCATTCGCATGGAAATACCCCACTATTCCAAGACCTCGTGTGCTATAGTATTCCTCTATCTGCGGACAGAATCACAGAATCAATTTCCCCCAAAATCACAACTCTGCAAGGACTTATCCGACGGCATCAGTCCGGTCAATTCATGGGATTTCCCTCAAACAATCGGGTGAAAAGGAAGAAGGAACCCACTTGTTCGCCCAATTCAATTGAAATCAAACCCTAGATGGCTATAGATCAAGCGTTGCGGAGAAATTGAGGAAAGGGGCAAGCAAATGCGAGGAAGAAGAAGATACCATGATGAGGGAGATCTCGAGGGGAGGGAGGAGGCCGAGGTGATTGTGGAAGAGCGGGACGGAATCTTCGATCTGAACGAGGTTTTCGTTCTTAGGGGAAGTGCGGCCGAGCAAGACGCCGTTGACGGCGGAGGTCTTGTGCTTGAGGGCGTGGAGGACGAGCTTGACGTAGGCGTTCTGAGCCAACTCGTACTTGAGCTCCCCGCCGCCGGCGCCGGCCATCTTCAACAGCTTCTGGACTGGCTGGGATTCGATCTTCCTGCTTGTTCGTTGTAGGCTTTAGGAGTCTGCTCTGTATATCGCGGCGGAGGCAGTGTGACGGCCGCCGGCGTTAGAGTAAGTAGATTTTTGGACTCTCACCCAAACTTTTCTCCCAATATTATAAAAATAATTCTTGTTATTTTACACGTGATAGGTCCGGAGAATATTCGTTACGGCGTCGTATTCTTTGTTCTCTTGTTCTATACATGAAATTAAAAGGCAATTATTATAATATTGTCCTTTGAATTTTGATTAATTTAAATGATTGAAATTTACTAATCTTTTAAACAAAATTGCATTTTCCTCATTCAAAATTTGAACTTAAAAAAACTGCACTGAAATAGAATAATTTGAGGTGTTCAAAACAATATCCATTTTGATATACTGAATTGATATTTTTAAAACATGTATGTCATCGTAATATGGTTTATTACAGTAGTACATTTTTCATATCGATATAATCAAAATATTTGCTGAAACATATATTTATGTGTTAATAGATTCCAAAGCGAAAATGAGTTAGACAGAACCAAATAAACATATTCAAACTTCACAACAATTCTCATTTTTCAGGGGGAAAAAAATTCCTTAGGTTAAATTTGGCTTAACTTCCTTTCTACCAAAGGCGCTTTTGAGTTGTTGAACCAAACTCTCCCACTTGATCATGTTCATAAATCCATTTTTACCATCTGAAAAATCTCATAGCTAATTATTTCTTTTCACCCTTCTTCCCAAAAATTTTTTTCTCTCTTTTCCCCTCTTTCCCTTCTCCCTAGCTAATCCAGCTCCTCTCGTAATCTTAGAACAATTTCCTCTAATTATTGTTTGTTCTAACATTCCTAGATCTTACCCAGAGTCGGGGAGAGCAAATCGACGCGCATCCATGTTGAAAATCTTAACATATCAAAATCGCTCGAAAACAATGTGTAAAGAGATGCAACCCTAATTTCTTCATCATCTCAGAGATCTTCAAACACAACGTAAGAATTTCTTCAAATACCCCATGCACGCACGTGCGCGCGATGTAATAAAAATCCGACATATATGATTGATTCGTCAACGCGACACGCCACCATCAGCAACATTGCGAAAAGGCTCGACGACGACGAGGACGACGTGGGAGCCATAAAATCGGTCCATGCATGCATGCATGATTCATTCGAACCAGAAAAGGCTGCTGAAACTGCTGGGGATCAAGAAGGTGTGGGTGGGTGTTATGGGCTGCATTTGCTCCAAAGGTGGCCAGCAACCAAACAATGGAAATTACGTAGACAGCAACCACAACCACAACCACAACCACAGCGGCGGCAAGAGCAAGGAGAAGAGCAAGAAATCCTCCAAGCGGTCAAAGAGGGATCAAGACGTCGACAACGACGACGATTACGAGAACGTCTGCGCCGTGATCGAGCAATGCGGCGGCGGCGGCGGCAACTTCGACGGCGAACCCGGCGGGCTAGGGATCTTCCCGTTGACCCCTAACGATCACGAGGAGACGAAGAAGGGCGGCAGCAGATCCAATCACCATTTCCACCACAAGATGTCGTCGTCGTCGTCCGCGGCGGCGGCCGGGGGGGTGTCGAGCATGGCGCACGGCGGCGGGAAGGCTGCTGCTCAGGTCGTCGCCGGGTGGCCGTCGTGGCTCACCGCCGTGGCGGGGGAAGCCATCAATGGGTGGATCCCACGACGGCTCGATTCCTTCGAGAAGCTGGAAAAGGTTTGGTGTTTTTGTCTGCCTGCCTGCCTGCGCGTTGCTGTTATAGAATGGTGTTACGTAAATTCGTATTATGGAATTTTCGTTAACTAGGTTTTTGAAAAAATTTCCGAAAATTTCCGCGTTGTAGATTGGACAGGGGACGTACAGCAGCGTGTACAAGGCGCGCGATCTGGAGTCGACGAAGATCGTCGCGCTGAAGAAGGTCCGGTTCGCGAACATGGACCCGGAGAGCGTGAGGTTCATGGCGAGGGAGATCATCATTCTGAGGAGGCTCGACCATCCCAACGTCATGAAGCTCGAAGGGATTATCACCTCCAGAACGTCGGGCAGCCTGTACCTGGTGTTCGAGTACATGGACCACGACCTCACCGGACTTCTGTCCAGTTCGGGATCTCAGTTCACCGAATCGCAAGTAATTGATTTATCCGATCAGTTCATTTTAACTTTCGTTATGTTTCATATGAGACACAATAAAATGTGGCGAAACAATTCATAACAAGATTTGTTATCGTGATATTCACCCTTTTAAAATACATTTTACACCGTTTTCTTTAAGATGTTATCTTCAACGTTCAATTATAATACAATGAACACTATAATAGAGGAATTTATATGCAAATTATGTACGATTTACTTATGTTCTAAGCATTTCTGCAAATTTTCCAAATCAACATCCAAAAATTCATCTAGCTCATATTACCAAACATTACTCAAATGCTACATAGCAACTTCAAAATTTTCAAATTTAAATTCGAAATTGGTGTATGACACAATGGCAGATAAAATGCTACATGAAGCAGCTGCTCACGGGGCTGGCGCACTGCCACAGCAGAGGAATCATGCACCGCGACATCAAGGGCGCCAATCTCCTGATCGACTCAAAAGGGATTCTCAAGATCGCCGATTTCGGGCTCGCAACTTTCTGCACTCCTCCTTCCAAACCAACCAGCGACAACAGCAAGCCTCAGCCGCTGACGAGCAGAGTGGTGACGCTGTGGTACAGGCCGCCGGAGCTCCTGCTGGGATCCACGGACTACGGCGTGGAGGTCGACCTGTGGAGCTCCGGGTGCATTTTGGCGGAGCTCTTCAACGGGAAGCCGATTATGCCGGGGAGGACGGAGGTGGAGCAGATCCACAAGATCTTCAAGCTCTGCGGTTCCCCCAGCGAGGAGTACTGGAAGACGTCGAAGCTGCGGCACAGCACCACGTTCAAGCCGCAGCAGCCGTACAAGCGGCGAATCGGGGAGACGTTTGGGGAATTGCTTCCCTCGTCGGCGTTAGGGCTTGTGGAGGTGCTTCTCTCTGTTGAGCCGGAGAATCGCGGGACTACTGCTTCGGCTCTTGCTAGTGAGGTAATTAAAATGCAGCTGCAACAAGTTGTTGAATAAACTGGTGAATTTTTTTTTTGTAAACTGTATCGTGATTTGCTGAAAAGAGTTATAACTCTGTTGTTGTTGATTAGTTCTTCACGACGGAACCTCTTCCTTGCGAGCCGTCCAGCCTGCCGAAGTACCCTCCGAGCAAGGAATTCGATGTCAAGCTCCGGGAAGATGACAATAAAAGGTTTCATCTTCTTCTTCAGTGGCATTTTAGTTACGCCCACAACCTGTTTGATGAAATGCCCGTTAGAATGTTACTTTATTAGTTAGGCTAGAAACCGTGTAGAATCGTGCTGCTAGTTTTTTTCTTCTCTCTATTCAGCTGTAGTGATGCCGTTATATAAAGGATACGAATTCCATTCAATGAATGAATCATCAGAAGCATTCCCTGCATATTCCTTCTCTGTTCTTTGAGACTCTGTTTTTCCATTTGCTCATGATGCTCTCAATTTGGGGAACACAGGAAAAGAGCAGCAGGAGGCAAAGGCAAAGGAAGGGAATCAGAACGGATATTTACAAGAGGAGCTAAAGTCATGGCAGCTACTAACAGTAACATAGACGTGCATATCTCTGCAAAGGTACATAATTACTCACTCCCCATCTTGGTTTCTTTGGTTACATGGGTTGGTTGGTTGTGATCATAATTCATAACGAAGTAATTTGCGAGCTGAGTGCAGAGGAGGAAAGAACGGGATCGGAAGGAGAAAGCAACGAAGAACAACAACGAAAGGTCGAAGAACAATAAGGAGGATGATTGTGATGATGAAGCTGATTCCAATACAATGTCTGCAACAAGGAATAACGCGAACTCTCGTGATCTAAACCTTTCCTCTGAAGGTGGCGATCAAGGAGGAGTTGGTGGTGGAAGGAACTCCAATCAAACGTCTTCCTCTGCAGCAGCCAAGCTATCGAGGTTCTCAAACTCAGTAGTGATTAGAGACAACAATGCCAGTTCATCATCGCAGTACCCGGGTTACGGCGGTGGTGGGAGCAGCTCCCACTGGCAGCAGCTCCGTTTCGGTCGCCACAACTTGGAGGATGCATCTGCACACCCTATCCTCGGCGAATCCAAGTTCGGCAACAAGGGCGAACGCTCTTCCGTGGATTCTGCTCGGGTAAACTTCCCAAATCCATCCTCATATACAATTCTCCACACCGCCATTGAGTTCAACTGATTGGTTGATTGTTGTTTGGTTTTTGTATGGATGTACGTGAAGGGGTTCTACGGGAAGAAGGGCAGGATGCATTACTCGGGGCCATTGATGACAGCAGGAGGCAACATCGAGGAGATGCTGAAAGAGCACGAGAGGCGAATCCAGCATGCAGTAAGGAAAGCGAGATCGGGGAAGAACAAGAACTTCCAAGCAGGCGATGATGGTGAAGATGGCGGCGGCGACGACGACGGGTCGCAGTTGTATCGAGCTCGTTAATGGAAGATTGGAAGGTGCTGCTGATGAGGATGAACGATTTCAAGTGATCATGCATGGCTGAAAAAGAGACTGCAGTATGTCAAAATTTTGTTCTATCTGCATGTCCTTATTAGCGTACGAGTTTAGCACACGTCGTTATGCTCAAATGGTTATGTTAAACGTTAACCATGGTGTTGTTAAGGTGCTGTGATATTGAATCTGATTTGTTGATAGAACAGAGACTTATGCCGGAATGAATGGAGGATGTCAGCTTCCGATGACAGGGGGATTTGTATGAATGTGGATGTAATTATCAGTATCCAAATAAAGGTCTAGACAAAGGAAAGTGAATTATGTTGACTTTTTCGCTATGTCAAGAACCATGGTCATAGAAAGAAATAGGCAAAATACACTTGTATAGCCATAACTTTCACATTTTTGACAAATATAGCCATATCTATTCGAAAACACGATATAGCCCAAAAAATAGAGGGTAGTGTGACAAATCTAGCCAAATCCGTTATAAACTTTAACACCGTCTGTGACTCCGTTAAATCGTTTAACGGAACGTTGATGAGGACGAAATCCGACCTCCACATCAGCGACACATCAACACACAAAATGTACACGTGGAATGCCACGTCAATTTAAGTTATAAAATAATTACTTTTAAAATTAAAAAACAAAAAAATATTTTTTTGTTTCTAACTTTTCCCCTTCCCTGATTAAGCTTAACACTCGGAGACCCATCTCGTCGGAGTCATCGAACGGAATTTTCATCATCTTCCTTCCCGTTTGGTAGCAATCTGGGTGGGAGAGGGCCGAGATCCATCGTTCCCACCAGGGACCCATTCCCAACCGGCGACCATCGCTCCCAACCCTCTCCATCTTCGAACAAATCCCCTTTCCTGCAACAAAAATCCCAAACCTAGAAACACCCAAAATCTCTAGAAATACCCAAAATCCTCAACCCCATACGCTTTTACAAAGCCACCACCATCGACTCAATCCCTAGAATCAAAATGTTTCCCAATCCAAATGAGAAGACTACTGATGTGAGAAAACAAAGAAAAAGATTGATTCCAAATTCGTTGTCCTTGCCCCCAACTGCCCGTTGCCGATAGAGTACCACCAGCAAAGGGAGTGGGTTTTGACGGTCGATTCGGATCTGCCTCACTGTCGCTGTTGTTGCAACATCGACGCCTTCAAATCTCTATTCACGGCGATTGTTCTATGAGATCCAGCTTCTCAATCTCCGCATCCAGAACTTGTACCCTTTCCCTTAATTTCCCAACTCGCACAGCCAGACTCTGCAGCTCCTCCTTCGCCGCAACCCTCTCCGCCTTCAGCTCCTCGTACCGGCTCGCCTTCACCATTTCCCCTAATCGAACGAGCATGAAGTCTACGTTCATCCCGACCTGGAGGCAATCGAAGCGGACCCAGAAGTCCGACGCAGATGAGAAGAAGGGATTGGAAGCATTGGGTTGTCGAACCGCCATTGGCGGTGGCAAAGCAAGGACTACATCCCTTACCTTCTTCCCAGATCTACTCGATTTCAAGTCGAAGTCGGTGATGGTTCACATTCCAGAAGTCACCGACAAAGGTGATGGAGTTTTGATTACTGAAGGCGCCGATGAAGGTGACGATGGTGATGCGGTTTTCCTAGGATTCATCCCAGACCCACCCGATTTTTGTCTTCATTTCTAGAAGGTGATGGTTCTAGAACAGCCGGAGCAGACATGTTGTTGAACCATACCGCCGCCGTGATGATGATTCTCCTCCTCCACTTTCTATTGCTCTTGCTCCTGATCTTGCTATCTCTTTTCTATATTTAAATGCTTATTGTTTAGAAAGTGCAGGCCTGATCAAGAGGAGGAAGAAGAAGAGGAGGAAAGAGAGGAGGAAGGGAAAATGGATACATACGCCGTTGATGGGAAGCTTCGGAGAACAACAATGGAGGAAATAGATTTTAGGGATTTATTTGGTTGTATTGGCCTATTGGGGATTTCGTGTTAATTTGTTCCTTTTTGTTTAGATTTTTGTTTTTCGAGTTCACAAAATTAACGACGGTGAGGAAGGAGTTTTTATTTTTATTTCTGTTAATCCACGTGGATCGGTGGGGACGAAATTTTGCCAACTTAGCATTTTCGTTAGTCTATTCATACTGTTAAGTAACACCGTTAAAATGTTGGACGGAATTGGTTATTTTGTGTTTTCGGATAATTATGGCTATATTTGTCACAAACGTGAAAGTTATGGCTATACAAGTGTATTTTGCCAAAGAAATATTAAGAAATTGGGGAGTTGTCTGCAACTCTTCTTTGTAGTAAATGTGGTATTATTTGAGCACAAAACCATCAAAAAAGTTATCAATGAGAAAAGGTCATATGGCCAATCCAATCCTCTGACCCTAAATGACAATAAGTAAATAAAACTCAAATTTTGGGTTTTATCTGAATTCAATTCATAATGAATCAAATTAAATTTGCGCATTATCACTTTTGGGATAAATTCTTGTGAATTTTCAATTTAAGTCTAAATTAGACTTTTGATGAAATTTTTGCTTTTCTGTGTTCGAAAACAAATATAAATATGAAAACACCAATATAATACGATATATTAAGAGTGTATTTTACTCCATATAGCTCTGATCAGTAGCCATATAAGTCATGACAATTAGGTAAAATTATGCAACGAATCAACCTATTCTTACGCCTATTAATCCTAATTTGATCCTTTAATGATTTGAATGTACCTCATATACGAATGACAAAAAAAAAAAAAAACATGTAATGTATTATACATCCATACACAATTTTTAAAATTAATTCTTGATATGATTATATGAATATGAAAATATCTTTGGTAATTGATTTTGAATGGTCATTAATTATATAACATAAAAACTCGATATTCATATAGTGATTACTTAACTAAAGTATTGATTGTTGATCATATTGATCGACAAATTAACTTCAATTCTAATATAGTGCACTCGATAGATTTCAAGTCCAAACAACTCCAATAACAAGAAGCATTGATCGCTTAATCTTACAATAATCATATCTTCACATATATAATTACCCATAATGCTTGATCCTCATCACACATTTTCTTGACATATATTCCATATATATATAACAAATCTTATTATTTGCCAAATTACATTTTCGGCATGCATGCATATCATAAGACGTAAAACCAACCCATTCATCATTTCACTTAACCATCTTCACGTTAAGATGGCTCACATATAATTAAACAAACACTTTATGGAGCATAACCGCCGCCACCGCCACCACCGGTGCCTCCACCGCCGCCGCCTCCTCCCGCCGCTCCGGATCCACCACCATACCCTCCTCCCTCACCACCGCCGCTCCCGTAACCAGCTCCATGAGCCCCTCCAGCTCCTCCACCACCGCCACCACCAGCTCCTCCTCCGCCACCACCACCGTACCCACCCGCCGCTCCTCCACCAGCTCCACCACCGTGGCCAGCACCTTCTCCTCCACCGTACCCACCACCACCTCCTTTAGCCCCTCCACCACCGCCGCCGCCTCCTCCCTTCCCACCACCACCACCTCCTCCCGCCGCTCCTCCACCGGCTCCGGCTCCACCTCCCTCACCTCCTCCATACCCACCACCCGCACCTCCAGCTCCCGCCCCGCCGCCGCCGCCCGCACCTCCGCCGCCGCCGCCACCACCTCCAATCCCACCGCCGTGTTCACCACCGTAACCGCTCCCAGCCCCCTCACCACCGCCGGCACCGTACCCGCCACCATGGTCACCCCCACCGCCCCCTCCACCGCCGCCGTTCCCCCCTCCACCTCCGCCGCCGTGCCCCGCCGCACCTCCACCGCCGTATCCCGCGCCGCCGCCTTCACCACCACCGGCGCCACCTCCCACACCACCACCTCCATGTTCCACACCGGTGCCACCTCCACCACCGCCTCCTCCGCCGCCGGACCCGCCTCCCCCGCCTCCACCATACCCGTTAACACCTCCGCCGTACCCCGAACCTCCGCCGGCTCCGTGGCCAGCTCCATAACCGCCGGCGGAATGTCCCACCGTGGATTCGTCGAAAGTGAACAGGGCTCTGGTCGCCGAGCCAATGCCCAAACCCACCAGCAGGAAGAAAAACGCTCCGAGGAGCTTGAGATCAGTTTTCATAGCGAAGAATAAAATATCGAATGTTTTGGTTGTCGAAGTTGGTGTGAGAGCTGCTTGGGTATGGAGAAACGGGGAGAGTAGTGGGGAGGTATTTATAGGGTGATGGCAATGAGGCGGGCCGGTATTTCAATAGTCAATACTCATATTCGCTTTACATCAAGCGCGTGGGTCAGGGCAGGTAATATTCGTGTGGGTATGGGGCGAGGCAGGTCGATCGAAAGGAGCGTCGTCTTTGGGATCCGAATCTGGAACCTGCATGCTGAAAATCAGAGATATGATCTCTCGACCACGATCTGGTTTTCATGATTGTGCCTAACTAATTGAAACATATCTATGTGTAACTAGTTGAAAGAAGGTCAAAATAGGGAGGGGGAATGAATATATATATTGTAAGAAATTGAGATGTAATAGATCAAGAATGGGGCTTGACGGAGCGTGACAGGTTGAAAATAAATGCCAACGCCCTCCTGACTCCCACGCTACTATGAGTCGTCGAGTAATATCCGCCCCATTGTAGATCAGATCGAATAAAAATCTACGAGACGGGTTCAAATTGTCATCATCAGGAGTCGATGCGTTAAACTTAAAACCGCGTTAGCTATTGGGCGGGAGTGGTTGAGGCAAATGGAGAAAAAGGACAAGAAGAGAGCCCACCATGAGAGGGTGGGAGGAGGGCCCAGTGTGCCTCCACGCTAGACTTGGGGAAAAAAGTGCAGACTCAGAGTGCAACATAACAGTGATGATCAGTGTAGTATAGTACTAACTCTGCTCCACCACTAGTGAAGAAGATAGATATGCGGGGAGTGGTGCTCATTTGCTGTCCTCCAATGTCTACACACAGTGATTCAGTATCAGTAGTAGGAGGATACCTAAAACCTAACTACAGATCAAAGGACTGCATTTGATCAAAGGCAATGCTCTCTGTTGTCGTCAATGTAGTCAAAATCGCATTTTAAAACTTAAAAATTTACGCTCTTACGATACTCGTTCACCAAAACAGTTCTACGTACAAACTCAGTTTTATAACTAGGGTAGTTAAAAACGCGATTTAAACCTTAAAAACTTACGGTTTAACGCTTCTAGATCACCAAAACACTTCTACGTAGCAACGCGCTTTTGACTACATTGGTTGTCGTCGACTAGAAATCACGGTGTATGAAACTTATATATGTTTGGTTTTTTTGTTTTTTGTTTTGATCTTGGTCTATAACCTTTTTTTCCCCTAGGTTGGACCTTCATACACCCAATCAGCCACCCTATTAATTAGAAAAAACCTAATAATCAAGGTTCTACATGCTTCAAACAAGTGCGCGATGTAACAGTTATGCAAACACGTCCTAACTAAGTTGGTAACACGAAAACTGAATAATCGTCATTACAAGTTTTAGGTCATATTTCCAATTAATTTAAAAACACAGGCACCACTATCATCATCTTCGAAACTTCGGATCATAATCATCATCTTTTCAGAATTAAGATTAGGGTAATATTATCCCTTTGTTTATATGTTGTGAGCTTCTGGATGAGACCAACTCCTAATTGGTGAAACAAATGGACGTATTAGCCACTAATTAAAAGAGATATTCTGTTCATAATAGTGCATCGCTCCACCTCCACCTCCACTCGCGCGCGCCTACATGAGATGAAGCCCATTTCACACCTGAACTTCTTCGTGTCTATGAGGTGGCTGAGCCACTTTCAATTTCCATGGAGTGGACACTATAAAGCTGTAAGCAACATTCAACTGGTTGCAGATGTCGACAATGTCCCATTGTGATCTTTATATAACTTGGATTTGGGCAATTTGTTAAGCTAACTCAACCATTAAGGTATGTTCAAGTTACTGATCAACATGGTAGCGCCACCGAATTTACCGATCACATGTAACATAGTTTTTGGTTAAAACAACTTCATCACATTGGGACCGGACTAGTCATCTCGTGGTCTCGAGAGTGTATCTGATTACGAGTTGATCGTCTACACGTTAATCACACTGTCTGTTAACCAGCTATAGGGTTAATCGGATTAGGGGATCAATCGAGTCAGGGCCACCAAATCATTGGTGAACTCGGATTGCAAGTGATTTGCAAGTCAGGGCAATACATTATTGATTGCACCAAGTCAGTTCTGCCACTAATAATAACAAGATCCTTGAACTGAATCTACAGTTTCGAGCTTCATTAAGTTAGACAGGTAGGAACATAACAGATCAACAGTTTGTTCTAAGCGCGATATAAACAATGTAAAAACACATGTTCCATCGTCCAACAGTCCTCCGCTGGAACAGCAAAAATAGCACGACTCGCTCAACCACAGCAGTTGCTCTTTTCCTGGATTGGCTGTCCTTTCATCTGAACCGTTCCGGTTGCCTTGCTAGCAGTCGGCTGGTTACCCATTCTGCACAAAGTTATGAGATGGCAGATGAGAAGTTTATACATTATGGAATTGACACTTTCAAAAAGCCATAAGAAATTTGAAGGGAATGAATAAGAACAACAATCATCTATTTCGGCAGCAAAAAGGAAGTTATGTCTATCATCTGCATGAATACTAGTGACCAAACATGAGTGAAGTACTAAAGCTAAACAATGACTGATTGGATCAGGGTTCCTAGCAGCCAGCCACCAATGCATGGCAGGTAGTGTATCATGGCTAGTTATTCTTGATACAGATGTTAGCAGTATGATTAAGTCAACAGCAATACGTATTTGCAATTACTATATAGAGCTTTACTATTCACAAAATACGAGTAGCATTCAGCTCTAAGCTGAGATAAAGAGCAAAGAGAATGAAGTAAAGAGTTTTACTTTTTCTTAATTTCTGCAGCCATTGTCAAGAAAGCTTGCTCCACATTTATTGAATCTTTAGCACTGGTCTCGAGAAAAGGGATGCCTAGCTCATCTGCGAGCGCCTGCAGTAGTAGTAAATCACCGAGTTAAGAAAACTGCACCAGAAAAAAACCCTTCGGCTGCTGGAAATGGATTTATTTCTAACACAATGGAAGGACAGAATACAAATTCTCATTTAGTAGCTGCAACATATTATTAGTCTTCTAATGTAGTTCAGTGAGATTTGGGTGAGGCACATGGAAGAGTCTCAAAGCAGGGTACATTTCTGAAATCATCAAATATTAGCAGCCCAAGTCCAAGAAACCAAGAAAGAAAATAACGAAATAACTCCCTGTCACATAAGAAATGAACATGAAGAATAAGAAGATAGAGGATATAGAATTAATTATTGAGTGCACCTGTCCTGTTTGCGTATCTACAACTTTGTTCTCAACTAGATCGCATTTGTTCCCAACCAAAAGCTTGCAGACACTGTCATTTGCATATCTGTCAATCTCGCTCAACCACTGCTTGACATTGTTGAAGCTCTCCATCTCAGTGACATCATAAACAATCTGTTGAAATGGAAATCCAAACGTCCCAAAGGGTCATCTCATGGCAAAATAACAATCATAATGTTCTACACACACACAGCCCATCAGAGTTTCTCACGATTATCCCATGTGCCCCTCGGTAGTAACTGCTTGTTATTGTTCGGAAGCGCTCCTGACCAGCAGTATCCCACTAGAAAGACAAGAATGAGAAGAAGTATAAGCTTCAGTGACATTATGAAATCATGGTGTACACCACATCCAGCAAAACTGCATAATATGAACATAATTTTCGTAATATAAGAGCAAAAACCATAGAGCACTTTTGTACATCCAAACATCTACGCATGCCTTTTTATTACCAACTTCCTTTGACAAAATCCAATGCAGCATGCGGCAGCACAAAAACAATGAGCCAGTAAATAAAAGAATAAATTTTGGAATAGTTGAGCAGAAAAACTCAAGTCCCCGGTTCATTGCAAATCGTAGTGCAATCAACCTCTCCATTTCTCTGCAATCCATGTTTTTTTCTGCTTTACTGTCCCTAAATTGGCTACCGACTCTCGAATATCAAAATTCACCTCAAAAGTTCATCAGATGCAAAGACAAAGGACCTGAGAGGAAGAATACACTAGCAAAACGAACTGAAATCATATTGTCAAGTGAAAACAGGTCATCAGTGTACTCACAATCTGCAGCTTGATTGTCTTTCCATCCTGCTCCACAGTTCTGATTTTCTACAAAAGACAATCAACATTCCAAGTCTTATTCCTTTCGCAATTTGGTGCAACCAAAAGGCAACATACAAACAAAAGTTCAGTGTGGTGCCCATTTCATTTCAGTGAAAGGGAGAAGGTTTCGGGGGGACTCACGAAATCGACCCCAATAGTACTGATGTAGCTATCCACATAGGAATCATCCTGAAAGTAGACAAGAAACAGAACCCACAATAAAGTAGTCAAATTGGAAGCTATTGATCCTCTCAACTAACAGCCAAACCATTAAAGAAACTAACTTTATACTGCAAATCACAAAACCCACATCCGCATTCCTCGAGAATTACCGAAACCTAGCATCCCTGTTCAGTTTTACCCAACACCATGGAGAAACCAAACCACCAGTAACGAAAGCAAGAAACATCAACAAAGACACAAAAGTAGAGAGGAAAGAGGTCAAAGAGAGTCAAAATTACAGCGAATCGAAGGAGCAGGCAGGATTTCCCAACTGAGGAGTCCCCGATTAGCAGAAGCTTGAAGAGATAGTCGCTGCAAACCCAAAACAGTAAAATACAACCAGATAAAAGTCAATTGACAAGAAGCAAACAGAGAATCGAAGTACAAGGGAGAAAGAAGAAGAAGGAGAGAAGACAAGGGAGAAACGGGGGTTACTATTCGCTGCCCATGATTGAAGATGGGTTTCGATGCAGGAATGCGGGAGTTCTTCGGAAGGTTGAAGGAGGAAGGAGTTTCCTCTTCTGAAAGCAAAGGGTAAAAGCTAGAAACAGAGAATCGAGGAGAGGGGGAGAAGGGCAGAGTCGTCTCTTCTGTCTAGAGGTCGGGCTTCACATGACATAACCGAGAAGCACTACTTCCCTACCCTATCACAACTCTTTTTAGGTCTTTCTCATTTTTCTTTTGTTTGGTAAAAATTAAAAAGGTCGATTAAATTCAAGTATCTAAATTCTAAAACTGCCATGGAGGCCGGTACAGACTTAAGATACAAGAACCTGCCATGGACTGGATCATGTTTGGCCGATGATATAAAACGGATCCGGGATTCGACCCATTTTTTACTTGTTTACCGTCTAAACAAGACCCTTTGTATCTTCCTTTCACGAGAGAGATGAATCTTTTGGGGAAAAAGATATATAATTTGGCAAGCACAGGGTCTGCCGTGCTGTCATCATTATGCGACAGCCGAGCGAGAGAGCGAAGGGCATGTTTGATATTTCTCGCAAGTCGTAACCCCCAACTTGCCCTATGTTAATGCTTGCTCTGTAGTCTGTACTGTCGTCAAATATTCTTTCATTGCTCTGTTCTTGCTTCCCCCAAATCTTCCCTTTTCTTCTTCTGCCGCTGCTGCTGCTGCTCCCCAAGTCCTCGGTGTGAAAGCAGCAAAAGCACCGTAGACCCACACAGCCCGACTGCAGAAATAAGTAGGAAATGGCGAGGCGGATGGACGAGGAATACGATTACCTCTTCAAAATTGTCCTGATCGGGGATTCCGGCGTCGGCAAATCCAACCTTCTCTCCCGCTTCACTCGCAACGAGTTCTGCTTGGAATCCAAGTCCACCATTGGCGTCGAGTTCGCCACTCGCACTCTCCAAGTAACCACCCTTTTTCCCCACTCATCTCTCTCTGCAAAACCCCCCTTTCTTGCTCTGCTATTTCGTCTTTTGCCGCTTGATCGATCTCTTGCTCTGCTTCGAATTCGTACTTTACCTGCTTTGATCTGGACCACTGCCTTAGAGAATTTCGAGTTTAGCTATGCTCTGGCCTGGAGATATGTTCTGTTTCAGTTTGGTTTTTGACTTGGAGTTGAATTCTGTTGATTGGAGGATCTATTCGGTCTTGAGTTTGAAATCTGAATTTCACCCACCATTCCAAATCCACTGGTCATGCACTGGATCTGATTCCTGTAGTTGAATCATTGTTAGACTAGTTGAATTTGTTTACTCTGTAGCCAGTGATCCCAGTTTCGCTGAAGTAGTATGGCAAAATGTGTTCAAAACTAGCTCTGTCCTACTAGAGAGCAATAGATCTTCTCAGCTGTTGGGTGAAGAGTGTCAAAGCTTGGTCTTGTACTATAATCTCTTGCCAAAGTTTGAAACTTTGTGTTGGAAATGTTCATAATTGTCGCTTGCCATCTGGGATTTGTTTGTCTCCTGTGATGAAGAATGGTGGAGTAGTCTCCCCCATTTCTTGTTTTGAAATAAAGTTGTGAACTTTGGTCCTTTCTTGGTTTAGGTGGAGGGAAGGGTGGTGAAAGCTCAGATATGGGACACAGCTGGGCAGGAAAGGTACAGAGCCATAACCAGTGCCTACTACAGGGGTGCACTTGGAGCTCTACTTGTGTACGACGTCACGAAACCGATCACGTTTGAAAATGTCAGCCGGTGGCTCAAGGAGCTGAGGGACCACGCCGATGCCAACATCGTGATCATGCTGATCGGGAACAAGACGGACCTGAAGCACCTGAGAGCAGTTGCGCTCGAGGATGTGAATGTCGAGAAGGCTTTCCAGACGATACTGTCGGAGATCTACCGCATCATAAGCAAGAAGTCGCTGTCGTCGGGGGAAGGGGCCGCAGCAGTTAGTGTGAAGGAAGGGCAGACGATCGATGTGGGTGGAGGGTCCGAAGGGAACACAAAGAAACCTTGCTGCAGTACTTCCTAGATAGATTTGATGTCATTTTCTTTCGCAGTGTTCTTGCTTTTTCCTTGAAATTATGTTGTTAGCAGCTCCCCCTTTGATATTGGTTTTCCTGAGGATTTGATTTCCTCTCTGTTCGTTGTTGAAACTTGAAAGTGTAATTCTTTTGCTTGATCCCCTGTCGATTTTCAGGTCAATATAGCTTCTATTGTTTCGTCATTGCATTATTTTTGCCGAATACTCTTTCGACAATCATCCTCTAAACTCCTTCACCACTGATCCTCTGCAGAAGTCATTCCTAGCAAGAGATAGAATGGTCGACCACCATTGCCACAGAAGACTACGATCAAATGATCTCTGTCAGCTCGACTAGCCATTCCACACTCGACCCTGCTGCAAGGATCCTTCTGAAATCACCATCAAGGATCCTTCTGAAATCACCATCGATTTCACCTCCGTACCACATCGATGTTGCTCATCCAGTATCGTCGTTTGCAGTCCTTGTAATCCAACCTTAGTACCTTAACGAACAGACAACCACACTCTCTTTTCCTAAAAGTTTGGGAAGAATTAAACAAACACACCCAATACTGTAAAAATGTTTTAACCCAAAAAAAATCCATAACAAGGATGGTTTCCTGACATAATACACAAGAATCAGAAGAAAAAATAGATCAAAATAAAGAAACTTTGGTCTCTGAAGCAATGTTTTGCAAGAATCTACACCCTTCTTGTATAAGAGGAGGTCATATTTGACCTCCTCTCTTTAATATGTAACCAATCTCTTATTCAAACCCCAAGACTAATCATAGCATCAAAAAATTCACAATGCCACCCCTGGCTTTACAAACAAAATCTTTTACAGTGCCGATGAAGGCTGTAAAAGGTATAGCTAAGAAGTTTTTGCTTGCCTGCTTTCTTCCTTCCTCTCCTCCTCCCTTGGCTCCTACTTGTGAGGATTGATATGGGGGTATAGCCCCAAGATGTGCTCTGGGACGAAATCGTGCCTTGTCAGTATCCCAACAATGGGAGGCCTCTGCAATATGAACAGAAACCATTAGAGTTGTTCAAATGCTATGATCAGTTACAAACAAGGTGATTAGAAGAAAAGGAAAAACAGAGGGGCTTACCCCAGGCGTCTTTGGCACAACCAGCAAGTGTCGAAGACCAAGTTCACGGAACAAAACGGCTGCTTTCGCTAATGACATGGTCTCGACGACAGTATAAGGGGAAGTGTTTGTGATGGGATGAAGGTCAACAAACATCTCCATTTCCTCGTCCGAGATATCCAACTCCTCTAGCTGGACCCCTTTCCCTGACCCAGCTTTAGCAAAATCATGCGCCTTAAATCTCCTCATGATTTCTGAACCCGTCATCACCTTCTGCTTCGTGAACTTCTTCCCCTTGAGCAAAACAAGGAGATGAGACCTGAGCACAAGCCCACACAGCTCAGGTGCATCCGTGTAAGGTGGCTCGTCGATCACTGGGAACGCATTGTGCCTGGTTATCTTCAATGCATGCCAAATGTTCCCCACTTTTTCAACCCCGGCGAAAGTGAATAATGGGCCTGAAACAACGTCTCCTGCTACCAACTGCCTCATGTATGGCTCGGCATGAGCTTCCATGTATGGCAGTCCTTTCATCTTCACAATTTGGTCGTAAACGCCCTTGTTGAAACAATCAGCCACAGTTTTGGAAATGAGGAGAACAAGCATCATCAATGGAAGCATCAACAAGTCATTGGTGAGTTCAAGAAGAATGACACAGAGCGAGACCGTCATTCTCATCGTGCCACCAAGGAAGGATGCAGCACCAAGGAGAGCAAAGAGACCTGCATCAAGCTGAGAGAGAGAACCGAGCAAGCGACCAACGAGGCGGCCATACGATGCCCCAGCGAGAATGACAGGAATGAAGAGACCGGAAGGGACTGCAATGCCATATGTGATTATGCCGAGGAAGAATATGGCGCTAAAGAAAACAAGGAGTGTCGGGATGTGGAACTGTTTAGAGACCCCTGGGCTGAGTAAATTTTTGATGGCGTCGTCGTTGGTGTTGAAGAAAAGAGAGGCGAGATCATTGTATTGGTGTGATGAACACTGGAAATTCTTGTAATTACCAGACCGACCTGCAGTGGGACACTCCTCCATAAGGTGGGGAGGGCAGGGAGTGCATGATGAGAGCCATGGGAGACCATAAGAGAAACACGAGGTCAGAAGGGAGATGCACAGCACAAGTAGGACCTTGAATATTGGTCCCTTCCTGTAAGAATCATACACACACAAGTCCAAGGTGAGAAAACAATTGGTATATTATTGTGCTGACTAACACTTCACCAAAGATTTATAAAGATGAATAAGAATGGATCCTTTAAACATACTCATTAATGATGCTATAAGTGCGAAGGACCTTGTCCACTAGATAATTGTAAAAGCTTCCCAGAAGTCCCCCAAGCACACCAAGGAAGATGATTGCCAATAGATCTGGGGTGCCATAACTGGCAACCGACGAATTGACATCAAACATGATAAGACCGCCTTCCCCAAATAGCCCACACTTTCCAGACTTGCAGAAGTCCATGAAACCTCTCAACACCACTGCAACAACAGCCGTTGTAAAAAAAGTTCTCCAAAGTAGAGCACTCCTCCACCTGAAGATAAACCAACAGAAGAGTAAAGCAAGGGATCAACAGACAATCCGGAAGTCGCTATTTCATTTCAACACTGCATATGCTACTTGCTTGCAAAAAGCAGACCAAACGGCCAAAGGAAATTGAGAACCATTAAGCGGCACCATACATGTTATCAAAGCATTCAAATTTGTTCTTCAAGATTCAAACTTTTAGTTCTTTTATTTTCTTACTACTGATATTGATAATATTCATGACCTTGAAACTCAGATAACCGCTGCATTATGTGGAAATTACAGAAGTTTATCCAAAAGAAAAATACATAGACAAACCGAGCTATCATCACTTTAACCCCAATTTAGAAAAGAAATGGAAGTGGCAAGGGTGTAAAGAGAATGAGAGATATGTTACCATGAAGCAGCTTCTTCAAGAGCAAATAGGACACCACCAACAGGAGCTCGAAAAGCAGCTGCCACACCAGCTGCAGCACCACAAGTCACTAAATCTCGTCGATCCCTATCGTTCTTGAAGTGCCTAAGCCATCTCCAAGTCAAGTGATACTTCCTTGAACCACCTTGTCCAAGAAAGGCAGCTATGCAAGCTCCAGTGTGCACCATAGGTCCCTCCTTTCCCACGACCAACCCTGCAGCAACTCCAAAGATGGACCCAAAAATCTGCCAGTTACCAGGGCAGAATAAGAGTCCAAATTTTAAACCACTAGTTCGTTAGTTGAGCTCAAGAGTGTCAAAGAGCAAAAGATTCTAATGAAGTTTCAGGCCAATTTTAGAAAGGGAAAAGTCCAACCTTCACAAAGAGAGTGCTTGGGGCCAAAATAGAAGGAGCATCTACACCATTAAGGTATGCTTTAACTTCGGGTATGCCAGAACCTGCTGCAGCAGGGGCTCCGTACGCACAGAGGGCAGCAGCGGCGACAGCCAACACCGCATTGCAACCAGCAAATGCTCCGAATGCCAGGTAATAACTGTACTGGAATAACAATTACTTTACAGTTACATGAAAATCATCATAGTCTCAAAAATGTCATATCTAATGTGCGATTGCGGCATTAACTTAGGCAATGCAGGAACAGAAGATAAAAATGACTTACTTGTTCTGAAGCATTAGACTGTTCGTCCACATAAGCTTAAAACCAGCGATGTTCTCAACTGCAAGGTTGTTGAAAAAGCCAACAACCCCGGTGCTAAATCCAATCAGAAGGGCAAGTGTCCACTTAAGGACAACATATTGAACTATCTCATTCTTCTTTCTAGTCCTCCAATCTTGCTTAAACAATTCATTCTCAACAATCCTGCCACAGCAGAAGTCAGAAAAGCAAGATCAATCCCACAAAAATCTGGATGAATCTCCACATTCATCCTAGTATAATAACAGAAAGCACACACCAAAAGGTGGCCACCATCAAGTTTCAACACCTCGTCACAGCCAAATCAAGTACAACTTGTAATAAGTGATGCAGCTGACGTTAGTGCAGAGAAATGGATAAAAAAGGCAAAAGTGCATCTCACTTAACCCATGTGATCAACCACATGCAAATCCAAAACAATCAAAACAACCTTTGAACAAAATGGCCAAAGATCAACCACTAATCCACACAATCACTGAACAATTGAAATCTGATCACAGAGAAACCATAATTGAAGAGGCTTACTCATAATCCAGGCTTTCAATGGGGCAAACATTGGCACCAACAATGGCAATCTGGGAAGTATTGTTCTGCCTGTTCCTGAGAAGGAGTGGCTCTTTCATTAACCCGAATTCCTTGTCATCTCCGAACCCTCCTCCCTCTATCTCTATATCATTGTCCTCTGCATGATCTTCCATCTTCTTCAACCCTTTCTCCCCACACACACAAGAAGAAGAAGAAAAAGAACAGACTCAATTCTGCTGTCTACCTCCAATTTCCCCCTCTCCCTCAATATAATTCAACCTTTCCCTCCCCAGAATAATTCATTCCCTTTTACGGTGCTTATCCATTGTACCACCCAGACAGAACAATCAATCCGACAGCGAATAATTTCAATTTGTACACAAAAATGGAAACTTTCCCACAAATCAGACAGTGGGTTCTACCTCGAACCATCAACTCTTCCTCCTCCACCTCCAACTCCCAACCCAATCTCTCTCTCTCTCTCTCTCGCTCTCCTGATCCTCGAGTGTTAACAATGAGGCATTCACAGATCTTTGATAAAAGAAAGCGCCCGTGGTCTCTAGATGTGTACCAGGTCAAACCAACCAAAGGAACGTGAGTGCGTGACGCAACTCTCTTTCTCTCTCTCTCTCTCTGGCCTCTCCGTCTCCCGGTGTCTCTATTTGCTGCTTCTCTCTTTCTCTCTCTCTTTCCCTTTCTTTTCTTTTCCTCTGTTTTTGTTCCTTTCCTTGCTTGCCTCCTTGCCTTTCTGGCATCAAATTGAGGCCATGGAAACAGTTTTCCCCAAAAAGAACTGATTTTTATTTTTATTTTGATGAGTGGAAGTTGATTAGTCTATCGGGTTTGGATGATTAACGCCTGGATGTTGCCTGGCGCTCGGGCAAACGGATAGATACGCTACAACTCCCAGAGATTAATTATAGGAATTTTAACAAAAATTAAATAAAATTATATTAAGTATGGTCGGTAGCGACGGTACTAGTGGGAGATAACATAAAAGAAGCAGCACTTGCTCTCAAGGCCGGTTACGTTTAATACAAGGTACCAACCCTACAGCCATTGAATTAAGTTTTTCTAAAGGGATGGATATTGAGGTCATGTTGATCTCTGCACCAGCTTCGAATCAATGTGATGGACCATATTGTATGTTCACTGACCCACTTAACATGTCACGTTTTCCTCCCATTTGTCATTTCGCATTCGATCAGACCACTCGTTGTATTCTCGATATCTCTGCACTATGTGAGGATCCACACTCATATGTTATGACTTAGTCACAGACACGTGTGAATTTTGGTAAAAAGATAATAAGCTTTTGGACTTTGCTACGGTGACATGCATGTCACGGGGACATGCACTTTTCGGTTGACCTCATATAGGATTAGGTCAACCTAACCTGTTGTTTCAGTGCAAAAACAGTTTCAAGGTGCATACTTTGGAGATTCATATCTTACAATTTGCTACATGGAAATTGGACATCAATGGCTTGTTTTGAAGCTGAAGTGTCTCTCTACACATTCAAGTACTTGGGAGCTCAATAAGAAGTCCAGACCACCATTTTTGAACCTAATCAAAAGGCTATGCCAAAACTTGGAAACTGCCTAAAAATGGCCAAGTCTGGGAACGTATTTGTGAAGCCTACTTTGGAACTCAATTCGAGAAGCATGGATGTGAACCGAGTCCAGGGGCCTCTACCACGTTAAATTAGGTATGTTTTTATACAAAGTCAAGGCATTGGATGAAAGATTGGATATCGGTAAGAGTTCAAACAAAAGGGTCGAAGTTGCTACGAAGGATGTTTTTCTGGCAGCTTGCTTGTGCTCGAAGTCTGCCAGAAAAACAGTCTTCGTAGAAACTTCGACCCTTTTGTTTAAAGCTTTAAAGATATCCAATGACTTGACTTTGTATAACAATATACCTAATTTAACGTGGTAGAAGCCCCTGGACTCGAATCGCATCCATACTTCTCGAATTGAGCTCCAAAGTAGGCTTCACAAACACGTTCTCAGACTTAGCCATTTTCAGCCAGTTTTCTAGTTTTGGCATAGCCTTTTAATCAAGTTCAAAAATGGTATTTTGGACTTCTTATCGAGCTCCCAAGCACTTCAATATGTAGAGGGACACTCCAGCTTCAAAACAAGCCATTAATCTCCAATTTCCATCGAGCCAATTGTAAGATATGAATCTCCAAAGTAGGCACCATGAAACTGTTTTTACACTGAAACAACCGATTAGGTCGACCTAATCCTAACCGAGGTCGACCGAAAAGTGCAAGTCACCGTGACATGCATATTACCGTAGGCACACCCTAAGCTTTTATGTATGCTTATAGAAAAGGGATCAATCTCATTGTCACGAGGTGATATAAGGATATTTTGCCATAGGCTAAAGCTCACTTATTGTTTTCTCGATTGTCATACGATTATATGTATAGATAATATATAGGGTAATGTCTATTTTTTATCCAAACTTTTTTCAAATTCTTTTATATTATCCAAACCTATCGAAATACTAAGAATTAGCCAAATGTTAACTTCCAGTTAGCAATTTTGTTAGTAATATTGACTTGCCAACATGATACTGACTTGGACTAGACACATGAAGGTCAACATTTCAAAATTTTACTATTTTAACTAAGAAAAGAGTTACAAAATTATTAACGTTAGCGTAAAAATGGATAATGTTTTGATGCATTACGAAAGATTTGGCTAATTAATAGCATTTTAATATGTTTGAATAATATAAAAAAATTTGAAAAAGGTTTGGATAAAAAATAGACATTACCCTAATTTATATGATAAATTGGAGATTTAAACACACAACATATTCTATATAGAGGCACGAGTTTGTTTACGAATTATGCTACAAGCTCGCTTCTTGTATTTTTAATAACAACTTTAATTCATTTCGAAGTTTCAAGATTGGATTATTTCGTTTAGAGGTGGCAATTTCAATCCAATCCACCAATCCAATCCATCAATCCATTAAAAATATCCATCTAATCAAATCCATTTAAATCCAATCCATTTGATCCAAATCCAATTGGATTGGTGGATTCATGGATTGGATCCATGGATCATTGGCAAATTACGATTTAGTACCTATAATTTTTATTTTTTACATTTTGGTACCTAAAATTTTATTTTTTATACGAAAAATATCATTGGAAAATTACGTTTTGGTACCCAAAAATTTTCATTGTGCCATTTTAGTACCTAAACTTTTTACATTTTACATATTGGTCCTTGGTTGAGGATGTCATTTGAATTCATGGATAATCCTCCAATCCACTTGATCCAATCCATGAATCCACCAATCCATTTGATCCATGGATCCACCAATCCAATCCACCAATCCACCAATCCAATCCATTTGCCACCTCTAATTTCGTTTATTTTGTCATTCTTGTATGTTCCACCTATTTTTGTGTTTCTCTTGTGATAAGGTACCTATTTATTAATGGTTTGATATTGGTTAACCAATAACTGTGAACTACCTACTATACTAGTCCATATCAAAGATTTTATATTGGTTGTGTAGAAAAATTCAATGATAAGTTATTTTGTGCTAAAATCGTGATTTAGACGAAAATAATCATATGTCTTATACCGCTAAAACAGTCTACCAATATAGGTTCCAATATGAAGTTTTTCCGATCGACCACTATAGTTTTACACTCCAATTTGATTTTGATAATATACCAATTTGTTAAGATAGAAAAACATCAGGTACCAAATAGTAACTCAAACCCTTTTTCCTTTTCCCGAAAGCCGAAGGAGGAATCCCGGGTATATGAATGTCAATTTCGCGTCGGAACTGATGCTTTCTTTGCGTTGTTCGTCGTCATTCGTCATCTCCCTATCTCGTCGCGGTGTGTGTCTCACTTCAAAATATCAGAATCTCTCAAAGGGGAGAAAAAGGCGGGGAATCTTAGTTCCAAACCCTAGAATTCTAAAACCCTCAAGTAGGATCAGTTTGGTGGAGGGAACGGAAGATTAAAGCGGGGCAGGATGGAGGGGGAGAACGAAGAACTTAGCATAGAGGAGCTCACGTCCAATCTCTCTACATACAGAGAACAACTTGATAGCGTAAACTCACTCCCTTTCTGTTTCCTCTTCATGTTCGTAGTAAAATTAGCGTCTTTGGATGAACTATTTCGAATTTTGTGAATTGGGTTCGGCGAATTAGGGTTTCTTGTCGGGGCTGTTTGTGATTTCGGGTGTTAATTGGCAATAGGGTGAAGCTGAATTACGGGACATTTGTTTGGATTCATCTGGTTCTCTCTTTCCCCCCAATGTTTGTGGGGGCTGTCGTTAGAGTCATTCATTGTTGAAGAATGATAGCTCTCTTTTGCATCCTGGGTATGATTAACGCGTCTTACAGCTGCTTAGTTGACGACTTAACTGTTTTACTGTCATCATTGAAACCTGCATCTAAAAGGGTGTGTTGCATTGGTTAATTATGATAATAATATGCTATTACCAATATCATTGCAAAATATGTGTACTCAAGTAAAAAATTGTCTCTTTGCTTATGGAGTAAGATCTTTCAGTGTTGTGTATATGCAGTGACTCATGTATTGTTTTTGTGCTTGTGTTAGGTTCGACAACTTTTGGCTGATGATCCCGACAATTCCGAATATGAGGACATGGAGAAGGAACTTGGCGAGGTGATCTGCTGACATAATTGTGATTCAAGTTGTTTCTTTTTCATAGTGTTGGATAATTTTAGGGGACGAAAATGGTGGTGTTTGACTACGGCTTCTACTCAGCGTGTGATAAGTTTTCCTGACCGAATACTGGCTACTTTCATAGTGGCAACTGGCAAGATCCCCTAGAATAAGTTTCATACACTGTAACTGTACCCGGGTAGATGGTGGAATTTGAGCAGCTAGGTTCTTTCATGAAATTTATTTTCTATATTGGTTTTATCTCTTCCTCGTCTCACTTGAAGGAAAATGTTGTTCATCAAGCAACATTAATTAGCTGCTAATTCTTCCATGAATTTTTGATATTGTATAGTGTTTGAGTAAAGGTGAGGGTGTTTTCTTGTATAATGAAGAGTTTTCCAGAATGTGAATGTATATTAGAGATCGAGAAATTTGACAAAATGCCCATCACTCCTATCTTGATCCAATTTGCAGGTGTGCTAGATGTCTTGTGAAGGGCAGGCCTGCTTCTCTACGCCACATGTTAGAGATCTTGGGATTGTGTGTCTGTTAACAGAAACTACAATTTACGATTAACAGTGGTGGTGTTCCTGCTTTGGGTCTCAGGGGATTAACTAACACTCTGGGCATTGCAGGTCATTGCTTTAACTGAAGAACTCCTTGCAACTGCAAAGCAGAGTGAGGTCATTGGATCAGGCATTGGTACCAGAAGTAGTGTGTCTCCGACATTTGGTCAATCTAAGGTTGGTCAAATCATGTAGCACTATTTAATATTTATGTTATTAGCTCCCCAGAGGTGTGGTTTCCCTAAGCCAAGTATCTTAGAATGACTACATAGTTAATTTGCTCCTTTTCTCTATCAGGAATTAGCAGACAACTCTGATCAGTATGGAAAGTTTCCTGTGGGCTCTAGAGTTCAGGCTGTCTGGAGTGAGGATGGAGAATGGTATGTATAGGGCCATGAACAAATGATTTGACCAATCAAGAACCTTTCTTGTTGCATTTGCTTTACCGTCTTTTTCTTTTGTGTTTGATTAGTTAATTGTGCAGGTATGATGCGACGGTCGAGGCAATCACCCCGAACGGCTATTTTGTCGCCTATGATGAATGGGGCAATAAGGAAGAGGTGCGTTTTCACTACTTCACTGTGCTTCTGAATTTAAAGTAACACTGTCATTGGGAACTAATGGAGTGAGGTAATTATTGACTGTTGGGTGATTGCCAGGTGGACCCCGATAATGTTAGACCAGTTGAAACCAATGCTCTGGTTGAGGCTGAAAGAGTAGCTGAAGCTACGAAACAGGCCATCAAAAGGAAGATTGCACAGGCTGCTTCATCTGATTTCCAGGCACGCACTTTACCAGCAAAGCTTCGCATACAGCCTGAGGACCCTGAGGATGTCAAAGTTACAAAGCGGAAGAAGATACATGCATTCAAGTCCAAGATGAGGGTTGAGCAGCTTGAAGTTGCACAGAATAAGCGCCAGAATGCATGGCAGCAGTTCCAGACAACTAAAGGGAAAACTAAGAAGGTAATTCCATTCCATTTTGTTCAATTTTCCATAACCAATTTGGTATATTTCTACTGGTTATTCACTGTTTGCTAAAACATGGTGGTACTTTGATTAAAAAAATGTGGCTGCCTGATAATGAGGGTCGTCTTAGTTATGGAACTCTGTTTTTTCCCCCAGGTCGGTTTCTTCTCTGGCCGAAAACGAGAAAGCATATTCAAGTCTCCAGATGATCCACATGGTAAAGTCGGTGTGACCGGGAGCGGAAAAGGTTTGACAGATTTCCAGAGGAGGGAGAAGCATTTGCATCTCAAGGGTGGATCTGCAGAAACCGACGATTAGAGAGTGTGCTTGCTTGCTGTCTTTAGTTGTTTTGCTTACCCTTCGTCTTTTATACTCTGAGCCAGTACTCTTTGATATTCTGCGTATGAACAGTGGTGGGAAGATTGTACTTTTTTTTTTTGTAAGTAGTGGGAAGCTTGTACTTAACCGAGATTCTTGTTTGATGTGAATTCAGATGGCCATATGCGTCCTGCCCACCACTACCCTATGGGTTCACTGAACTTTAGAAAGCTTTGTCCTTTTGGTTTTCAGCAAGATCAGTCATTTTCCTTGCTGCCGACATTTTCAAAGTTGGCCTTTATCTCGTGCTTGAACAGTTTGTGACCTTGATGCTCTTTGGTTGTGGGGTTTGGAGTACCCCATCGTGACGTTAACCAGTCTAAAGCAAAGACAGAGACTTGTCTCGTGGTCACTGGTAGCCATTGAAAGCGTAACATTGAGATAGTTGTGCGCATTATTACGATGAATTCATGCTCGGACATGATTTGTATGAAGTTTTGCTTGTGGATTTGGATAATTGAGATTGAGATTCCAAGTCAAAGTTTAGTGCATAACAACACAGCCGCAAAATCAAATTTTAGAGTCCTACAAAAAAATGCACGAATCTTCCAGGATAGAACTTGAATCTTGTTGAAACGGACTAATAGCCTCCTGTTCTGCTGGGTTTTTCAATATTTTGTACATATTACAACCTCAAACCAAATACCGACACGTATCTCGGCCTCCGAGCAGGGCAGTAAAATGACCACACTACACAGTGAAAGAAATTCTGAACCTTGTTACAAAAGAGGCGCGGAAAACTTTATAGGTGCCATCTAGGTACTTGTCAATTGTGCTAGGACAGAGTTCGTCTGTTGAAAGATTCCACTGTTAAGTTTGCCGTGAAAGCTGGGATGGAATTCATCTTGCGTACGAATATGTCGACCTGCGAATGTCACCATAAAAAAGGATGTTCAAAACTCAAGGGTCAAAAGGTGAAATGTCAGAGCATGCAATGGACAAATTGCAGATTCATTGGTTCTTGCAAGTTGCAATCACATGACTGATAACATTACACAGAGACAGCCCAGTAAAACGGTTGCAGATGAAGATGGGTAGGCGTCTTTTGATCCATACCTGCTGAGAAATTTCTGAGGTTGAGGTGTAGCCGTTTTCCTGAGGAAAGAAAAATGACAGCATAAGCTTCTATAAAGCAACATGAGTGCTGTGTACATCACCTATTTCAGGACTACGGGAAAATAAACCAGAAGACAGCACAAAGCTTTCAATGCTCACCACAATGTTTGTATTCCCAGATTCATATTCAAATTCAAGCTTCTCATCATCATTCATTGCATATATGGACTGAAGGGTAAACCGAGTAACAGGGATTCCATTAGGACGCTGGCGTTCATCCATCACGATCTGCCAAATTAAATAAAAAACAGCAAAAACATAAATCTTGCTGAACTCCCATAAATAAGATTCAACAACAAAGAAGCTAATTGAGGTATAACTTCAGTTAAAATCGAAAAAGTTTTGAGAGGAACTGGTGTAAATGGAGCACCATCGAAATACACCAATTTCAGATGTGGAACTTATAATCCATACCTTGTATCCGAAAAGTTCACAGCATGCCCTCCTAAAAACTGAGATTCTATCCGCAAATACTGTTTTGTATCTGCAAGAATGAACCAAACGATTACATCAGAAGCTGGAATTTGAGATGCTAAAATTGCACCTCTAAATACTATATTATTATCATTCCACAGATGACACAGCTTACCGTTCTTCTCGTTTCTCAAGTGTTGCAATTTGTTCTTTTAATTGTGCCACCTTGCCGGACATGTATGAGTCTACCAGCTTGCCAGAATTACCTGGCCAACTCAAAGGGAGTTAGGGAAAAAGACTGCAGTAATCAGGCAGCATAGCCAATGAAGGCAACTAGGTTCGTACAATACTGTGTTATCATGATCCTGGAGCATACAGAAATGTCTAAAAGGCAAGAACCAAGTACGCCTGCTTTAACATACACATGCATCCTTCCAGCCCTCCTTGAAACAATTCGGTGAACATATTTGAGATTGCAGGGTGGATTCTAAGCCCAATAGTGGAGTGGTAACTCTACTTAATTTGGTTCACATTGCAAGCAAATACGGAAAGTTTCTCAATATTTAATCTTCATCCCCATCACAAAACAGAACCAACATTGTGCCTACTTACTGATCAATATCTTAACACGACAATACTTCTCACTTCCCAATAAGATACCCAAGCAATGTAATGAAGAAGAATTTAAGAGGAGGAAAGAAAGGAAAATAAAGAAAATGCTCTCCAGATAAAGGCAAAACATTTCTGAAAATCAATCACAAACAAGTACGAGGAACCCAAATGACAGAATTCGTACCCGACTGACTCTTATATTCTTCAAGTGCTTGCAACTTCTCTTTTGTCCTCTGCAGCTCACTTTGTAAGGCCTCAATAGTTTGTTTGGCATCATTACCTACTGCAAGAGTGTTTACCATCCTTAGCACTTTGGTATTGGCAGCAGAAAAGTCACCATGACCTAGCTGTGTGCAAGTACATAACCAAATACAAAAATGTGAACTCCTCAATGCCAGATTACAAGAGAGGCACTCATGTCTTCCAAAGCATTGTAACAATGTTAAATAAAGGCAGAAACAAATACAATGTGTTTTTCATAGCAGAACTGGCGGCACCATTTGGTGCCTTGGGCACTCAAACCCCAGATATTGAGTATAAAATGAATTGCATGATCTTCACAATGAAATACATGAGAGAATATCCTTGGGTATACCTTCGACTCTAGCAGAAAAATCTCTGAGCGAAGGCGGTCACTCTCCCTCTCCAAGGATTTAACTTTCCTAGCTTCGCTATTCAGTCTGTCATGAAGTGACTTTATTTCATCTTGTTGCCGGGTATTGATGTCCTTTTGTGCAAATAAATCTCCCTCCAGCTCTTTAATGTAAGGTTCTCTTTTCAAGAGAGATGATTCAAGCTCCTGGATGTGTACCAATAGAAAGTCATAAGTAATCATTAGAAAAGGTGCAAGGTAGTAAATAACAAAAAGAAGAAACAGCGTTAACAAAAAAATAAAGGAGCTGGAATGGAACTTCAATACCTGCAAGGCACTACTACTTGCATGCCCCCCTGCTTGTTCATTCTTTGATTTGAAATCTTCAATGGCAATTTTTAACATATTCCGCTCTTCAGAAACAGCAGAAAGCTGCAAATGTTCATGAAGGAACATTGAGAAAAGGAATGCTTGGAGGAGTGAAAAGATAAGAACCTACATCTGTTTACATGGAAGTACCAAAACCAAGCTTACCATCAAGTTCATCCTCTTAACCTCGGCTTCCAGCCGGTCAGCTTTCTCCTTAGCCAATGCAGCTTCTGTTTCAGTTTTTTGTTTATCAAGTTGGGTTTTGTCCAAAACCACCTGCATTTGTTTCAAATGGGCATTCACCTCACCCAACTTCTTCAAGTTATCGATCACCTCTCTGAATTATAGATGAAAGGACACATCGAAATAATTAGAACTGAAGATGTATTCAACCAAGATCTGAGCCTTCTAAAATTAAAGCAATGTATTCAACCGAGTTCTTAGGTATCAAATATTCAAGTGATAAAAGGGTGACATAAATCAAATTATTAAAATGGCGATTAGGAGAGGAGTTATGTAGCATACCCCTAAAAGGTGGTGGTGTGCTAGTGAACATGAAAACTACAAGTGATAGTGGCACCAAAATCTGCACCTACTCCGTTATGATATAAAACAAAATGACAGGTTCTACCAAAAAATAATGACAGGAAATTTAGAAAGACTCCCCTAATTTCTACTGTCAACCCACCCAACTTTCATAAGAAAAAGCAAGTAGGAAAAGCTATGTAAAAAATCTTTGAAGCTAGTTTTCATTTCCAGAACATATGCTTTAGTGAAGTTAAAAGGCATTGTATAAAAGTTACATACTTCTGTAAAGCTGAAATTCGCAAAGGCACATCATCACAGCACGAAACACCTGGGATATCCTGAATCATTAGCTTCCAAGCAGATAATTCATCCTCCAATTTATTAATCTTGAGCTCATATTCTTGCAACTTAGGTAATTGTAACTCAACCCTCTCTCTGCGGCTCTTTTCTTCCAGAAGTTTTTCCTTCATTAATTCAATGCTGTCATGAGCAGATTTCAGTTTTCTTGCCTCTCTGACCTCCGACTCCTGATAACATCATACCCATAGTCAGCAAGTTTCAACAAAGGCATCATCCTAGATACATCAATCTACACATCGGCAGATAACTACAGAGGATGAAATAAACAGAAATTTTTATGTTGTAAAGTACTAATGCAGGAGTCATACAACAGCACAACAAAGTGAAAACGGAAAGTAGAGGCACGGTGTTCACAAGAACTTCGCGAACTTCAACAAGTGGCCCTCCCCCAGTCGATTGGCCATAAATGTAATCAATCCATCTAAAAGGGTCAAGAAGCAGTCAGGCACCAGCACTGATTGTGATGAGTAATTGTGTATCACAATCCATCAAGAACGGTAAATAGCCTTGTCGAGATGGTCAAAGGGGAACAGAATCCATCCATTTGACAATTTCTATACTCACTGCCACAAATTTTGGATATTCCATAATCTACAAACACATTGGCTACAATTTCTAAGTTTCTTAATTCAATTATTAATACCAGGGCAGGACCCACTTCCCATGATCTACCTCTTAAAATCTCTTATCCAGACAGTCATGTTTTGAAATATATTATTTTCAGAATCTATTTAATTTAAAATGTTCACATCCCCCGAGGTATTCGTAGGATTAAAGACGAGGGGTACGTAAGTTTCTCTGTTTTCATTTATGCCACATTTATTGATTGGAAGTGAGACATTATAGTCAATAGTTTGTATTTCCGTGGGCCAAGTTCAATGCTAGTTTCACCATATTTTTTGCTTCTTAGAATTTAGGAGCTAAGTACCTAGCTCAAATAAGCATATGACCTATCCAAGTGGTGAGTGGAAGTTGATGGCAAAGTAGCAAGCACATTAACATCAGACATCACTGAAGTACCGGCAAAAACTTACATAGTTCCGAAGCTCTTCTTGTAGATGCTTAACCAAAATATCACTCTCCTTAGGAGAATCATCTTCGAATGAGAGGCTTGTTAATCTTTTCTCTAATTCACTCTTCTGGTGCAAGCACTGGAAAAAAAAAAATACATCAGAACTTTACGAACAAAAAGAAATCAAACATTTATTTCATGAACTCGAACTTCTTAATG